CATTTCGATTCAATTCGCCCCTGCAAGAACTGGAGGGCCTCCCTTGCATCGGGTGTTTGCCTGGAGCGAACCCCGATTCTTGAACTTCATTTGAGCCGGATCTCCTCGAAACGAACGGCTTTGAGCGGCTGCTCCAACCAAAGCTCGAAAAGTGCGTTTTAGAAAGTGATCTCTAGTTTGGTTCGGCACCAAGGTACGCCACTCAGAATCCAGCTGTCCGAAATTTCCCCTAGTACTCTCTGCTAGCTCTCGGCAAATCTACACTGTCTGGTTATCTTCCGGCGTCAAAACTTCCCGAATTCTCTCTACTAAGCCGCCTTTCATGCCCTAAAATCCTCCATGCCTCGACTGCTCGAAGGAACCTCCCGTTTTTCCGCAAAATTCCAGTGTATTTTTAGCAAAAATAGTGCAGAAATTCGGGGGATAATTGACTACGGGCCATTAAAATATTTCCCCTAAACGTCCCTCAAAAAACGTTCATCGCCGCGGGGGGCCTCATTTCCGCCAAAAAATTCCGCGATGAGACCCAAGCCAGGGTCCAGGAGATAAATTATGTGTGTGTCGGTTCCCGCTTCTATTCCGCTCCATTCCCATCCACATTCGATGATGAGGATGATATCCATGAGAAAAGAGGGGACCGAGGCCAAAATAGAGACTTCCGCTTCGACCGTTTAAAGGCGATGGGCCCGGGCCTCCTGCTCTGACTGCTAATGCTAATTCCATTTTACGTGAATTTTCGGGCTTTTCCTGAGGGGTATGAGGTCGTTGGAAGGTGCATTTGAGGTCAGGAGTTCGGCCTCCAATGATCGTTTCGTTGTTTATGAGGCTTAATGAAGGGTTGGCAGTCCGGGTACTGCTTTTAAAGGAACTGTGAATCGGGAGACGGGCCTTCAAGAGAACGGAACCTGATAGAAACCCTCAAATTCATCCAAAAATTGCCTAAAAAGTTGGTAAATGCCTAGTAAAGTCTCCGAAACGAACACTGGATGGTGAAAAGCGATAGACCCGGAAACCAGCGGATATATTTTACTACTCAATTTTGGTTTTTAACGTGTTTGTCCAAAATTTGGAGTACAAGCCGATAGTGAATTGATACAAACTAAATTACTTCCTCCCTTATCCCTCAAGTTTCCTAACGTTCTTTGTTGCCGGGCGTACTCTTCAAAGACGGGTGGGTGGAATAGGGAACGATGAGCTGATTACCCTCATTCAAATGTGACTTTAGCGGGGAGGGCATCTCTAAAGATGTGCCCTTAGGGCAGGAATAGACTTACATACACACATCAATGAACTGTTTACGGGCAAACGTCATTTTCTTCACTTTTTATTACTCGGAAGCGTGCCACTTTTCCAGATTTAGCGCCTTAACAGGCCAAATAAGCCAAACTTGTTCCGCAGCTTTTCGGGGAGCAACATTTCCTGGCTGGTAAGTTGTTTTGTCTAGCGGGATGTCTGGAAAATGAGAAAACATTATTCTGATGATATTCAAACAACATTGGACTTTGCGTAAAGCCTAGACTGATGCCTGGCCTGAGTTTATCTTAGCCTTGGCTTAGACATGGCTTCGCATTGCTTCGGCTGGCCCAGGCTTGGCTTAGGCTGGCAGGCTTGGCTTAGGCTTTGGCTTGGCATAAGATTCACTTGAGCCTGGCTTAGGTTTCGCACTTGATTGGCTTTGGATTGGTTTAGGCTTAAGTTTAGGCTTGGCTTAGGCTTATTCAGAAAGGATCTTTGTACCAGATTTTAGAAGTAGGGCAACTTTACTGCCAATTCTTACTATTAGTGATCGGTTTTCTTTTCTTGTACCAGGCTGTAATAAATTTCCACTTGCTCAATCTTTTAACCATGAGCAATTATGAGAATTGCATGAATTCGTTTAATTTTTATCCACTTACTTTTATACCAAATAGACGGAAAATCACATCGTCGCAATAAAATGATTTATAGCGCGATTATTCTGAGAAATTTCGTGGAAATCGTATATATGGAAACCACTACCCCATGCAACTTTTTATTCCGGCTATTGTCCACCCTCGAAAAAAAATTCTATTCAGCTCGTTTTTCCAAAATCAAAAAAAAAATTCCATCCGCCATTCATTCACGCATTCGGAATCTAGACTCCAGCCATTCCGGCTTTCAAAAATTGCGTCAAAAAGCGGGGCGTCGTCACCTGGAAAGGGAGGGTTAAGCCGTTTTTGATCCCGATTCCCGGCGTCAGGCTGTTTTTCTAGTGGCTAAACACCGCGCAACTGTTTTGCGGCATCTGGCAGGTGGTATTGTGCCACTTGAATTCTAATATCTGTCTGGTGTACTCAACGATTCTTCTGATTCCGGCAAATTTTTGGTTTCTGTCGTTAATCACAACTTTGTATAGTTTCCATTGCTTTTTTTGATGCAAGCCTCTAATGTTTTGCAAATGGTCACTGCTAGTTTTCACAAGAATTGCAAAGAATCTCTGCTAGCCAGCGTTTGGAATTGCTAAAAATAACTTTTATGATGTCCATTTCCACAATAAAATTTTGCTTTCTCGAATTTGTCATTCCCACAAAGCGCCACTAATCTAAGCCTTAAGCCTAAATCTAAGCCTAAGCCTACGCCTAAACCTAAACCTAGCCCTAGCCCTAAGCCTAAGCATAAGTCTAACCTAGCCTAAGCCTAAGCCAAAGCTTCGAAACCGTTACTGCGATCAGTCCTACAAAGTTCCTAAAAAAACCCTACAAAGTTTTCAGCTGCTCTGTTATCCTATCGTAGCAAGTAATATCTGCTAGTAGTCCCCCAAGGCCAGCGTAAAATTTTACACAACTTCCGTCTCCCTTACTAATCAAAACCGGGTCCCTCATTCCTAGCCATTCCATTCTTCTTCACAGATCCTCCTCCTCCTTCTTGTCCGCCTATAGCATAATCTAAAATCTGCCCATCAAATATGGCGCACCCGGGTGGTGAACCGAAAAACATCGTCGAATATTCTATTTTTGGGCCAGCCCCGCAAGAAAACCTAGGATCCGTTCTTATGTTCTTTTTTGTCATTGAGGAAAACAAATGCTAAGCATGAGGTTGCCACGCTTCTTTGTTTCGTAAATTTTCTAAGCTCTTATATAGATTGAAGCAACATCTAGAAGGCACCAGAAGATATTTTTTTTGGAATTTTAGTAAGTCTCTCTATCTCTCTCTCTCTCTCTCTCTCTCTCTCTCTCCTCGCTATTTCCCTCTTCTCCCGCCCTATTCTCGGACAAGATAATCAAATTACGCGCCTACATTTAGATCCGGCGTGCGCATCATCGCCATACAGTACTTAAAGATACTACGAACGGATTGCCGGACACCTGCCCTAAAAGACACCTGTCCTAAAGACACCTGCCCTAAAGACACCTGCCCTAAAGACATCTATCTAAAAGACACCTGCCCTAAAAGTCGCCTGTCCTAAAAGCCGTCTGTCCTAAAAATCACCTGTCCTAAAATTTTTTTTATACCGTATTGCACCCAATTATGTGCTTTGGAACGAAAATGTTAAAGGATAGATGAATTTTAGGACAGATGAAATGTCCTGAACGAAAGAGGTGACAAATTTTGGTGCAATACGGTATAAAAAAATTTTAGGACAGACGACTTTTAGGACAGGTGACTTTTAGGGCAGCTGTCCTTTAGGACAGGTGACTTTTAGGGCAGGTGTCTTTTAGGGCAGGTGTCTTTTAGGACAGGTGTCTTTTAGGGCAGGTGTCCGCCCACCCTACGAACGTGTACATACTACGAATACAGAGATCTCAGCGTAAAAAAAGGAGCGTGAATTTTGGGAAGGGCCGATGGAGATCTCTCACTCTCTCTCTCGCTCTCTCTCTCTCTCGCTCTATCTCTCTCTCTCCGTCTCGCTTGGTTTTTCTCTTTTGAATTGCCGAGAACCGCTGCGCTCCTCTTGGCGCTTTCCGTCACAGCTTTTTAGATGTATGAATGATGACATAGAAGGATGAACCTATCATCCCCATTTCAGTTCCTCCCCATCCCCTCATAATTCCGATGAATGTTTATATAGGATGGCAACCGGGATGCGATGCCCCTCATTTCCCGATAACTCGTGCCAAAAATTGCCTCATTATTATTTTCTATTTGGCGCTTCCTGGCCGGAGGAAGCCACTTGTTTGTGGCTGGTCTAGACGCGGGGATGTTATAATGAATATCACGGCGTTTTGCGCGTAGCGTACCTCGGTGTAGTTCGGAATATACCGGAAAAATGTCCATTTGAAGGTGACTATACTGATGTTGAGTCTTATAGATAAAGACTTTTAGATTTGATAAGCGAAGATTGGGAGGAGGTAAAGAGAGCGAGAGAGAGAGAGAGAAAGAGAAAGAGAGAGAGCGAGAGAGACCAAGCGTTCCGTTTTAAATCTTAAATTGTTTTCCGATTTTGCTGTCTCTCTCTCGCTCTCTCACTCGCTCCCTTTCTCTCGCCCACGTTTTCCTCGCACTCTTTCGCTTCCTTGATGCTTAAAAATCTTATTTTTCGACTACCGTATACCGGACAGGTGTCATTTGGTGCAACATGTCGCTTTGCAAGCGTTTTTGTTTTCCACCGATATTGGCCTATCACAACGGCCAGCTTTATACAAACACCTGGCGCTGCCGATTCCTAATTCTGACAAATTTTTGATACCCTAATTCCTGTAGTTTCGTAATATTCAATCAATTTTTCGGATGCTAGACTCTCGTTAATTCGTGTATTTTTCCAAATTTCTCTCGGTAATAATATTATTTAATAAGGAGTCCAAATTTTGTACCCAAAATTTCGCAACTTTTCTCTTCTCCAACTCATCCGCGAGGCTTAACTGATTCTGATCCTATATATCCCCCCTTGGGGATGGGATGAATTTGGGATTTCCTCCATTTTTCGCTTCCGTCCTTTTCGTTCCATTCCGCTCCACTTTACGATGCTAATTCACTGATTTCCAGCCCCTCTTTAACGTCCTAAAACGCATAACCTATCTGAATTTTCAGGCCTAAACCACAGGATGAAGCCGCTGGAAGGTGGAAATTTGGAAAGAATCGACAATAATTCGAACAGCTTGAATTCGACGGCCAATTCAACGGATGTGTAAGTTGACTCCAAATTTGACTAAAAATTATCGATTTTTTTAGACTTATCGAACTTTTCCAAACGTTCAACACCGACACCCATGATCTGGAGAATAGCTTGCTCACCATCATCTACAGTTTATTTGCGTTTTTCGGGTGGGTTGGAGAGGCAGTTCGCATGTTTCGAGCTTGAGAAGTTGTTTCTATAATTTCTCAGCAGGGTAGTAATGTTTTGGATTTTAAAAGTTATGAAAGCGTCATAAAATTACTAAAACGCCTCAACAAATTATTAGAATCAAATATAACGTATTTTGCCATTAAAATTTCGAGTCCATTCTTTAGAAACTTTTAATTCCTATTTTTCTTTAGGTTGCTCGCCAACCTGCTGTTTTGCCTCGTGATCTGGCGAAACGAGAAGCTGCACACTGTCACCCATGTGCTGATGACAAATTTGGCGTTGTCAAATCTGTTATTCCTAATTTTCCACCCGTCCTACATCATTACGACGTATCTGTTGCAGCGCAGCTGGGTTTTTGGTCGGTTTTTGTAGCGATAAGTGTAGTTTGTAGTCTTATCAGATCTCGTTTTCATACACAACAATCGATTCGATAGATATAAATATTAAACATCTCCGAGTTATTTTTTGTGACTTCAAAAATAATTTGGAATTGGCTTACTAGCGTCCTAAAGAATTGGAACATCAGATAACTTCGAAAAACAATTTTCCATTTTTCAAATATGAGTCCATTCCCTTTTCTTGGCAATTTAACCGGAAAAAAAGTCTAAAAACCGGCCGAACATGCTTGTAAAAATTCTATTTTTTAAACATTGCCCAAAGAATTTTGTTATTAAAACCACATCTCCTAGGCCTTTAATAGACTGTCTAAATTTGGTTCCCTGAGTGTTTCCATTGTTTACCACGCTACAACTGATCACCCAATGCCCCATTTGCAGGTACATTCGTGTGTAAGACATCATTTTCCATCGCCTATGTGACCTCGACAGGTGCGTTTTAGCCGAGCCGGGGGCCAACACTGTTTTTTTCAGTAAGGGGGAATGTCACGAGAATACTTTCGAGTTTGTGCGGGTTGAAGGAAAACGAATTAAAAGAGAGGCTAATTGTAAAAATGGCTAAAAATGTATAGCAAGAGTGATAAAAAAATTATATGAAAATGGCAGGAAAGTCAAGACGGGTTAGGTATCAGTTTTAACAAAGCTTAATCTGGATTCTAAAAATTGAAGAATCGCCATAAATCTAGAACAAAGCGAAAAAGTGGCTAAATCAAACATAAAGATGACATTTGAGTACGGTTTTGTTTATATTACTAATCAATGCGATGCCACGTGCTCAAAGGTCCATTTCTATCTTAAATCTTTAATAAATTCTTGATTATTTTAGGGTTACCTTAATTATACTTTTTTAGCCTCGTTCTACTTCATGAGCCTGGTGGCGATCGATCGGTGGTTGGCGATATTTCGACGGAAGTATCGCTTGACGCGCTCCAACAGTATCTGTCTCGTCGGGATGGCGTGGGCCGTATCGTTCGTCGTCGCCGCACCGTATATGATTAGTGCAAGGGTGCGTTGCGTAGTCGTAAAAAACCTGACCCTATAGCGACGAAGCCAGAAATATTTGCGTAAAAAATTTATGATTTTTCGCCTTTTTCTCCGGTTTTCACATGGAAAATATCAATCCTGGGATGCCCTTTTCGATTCAGGTGAAAGACTTCTACACGTTTGACAACATCGTCAAGGAGCACAGCCTCTCCCGAGCGCTTGGGCAACCAATCGCCCCCGAAGTCATCGCAAACGAAATCACAGCAAAAGCCGTCGATATGATGAAAAATTATGAAGATCTTTTGGTCAACTTCCCCGAGAATATCACCTTCGACGTGGTCGGCAACTCTGATGATGGCCCGAGGGATGAGGGCTGTAAGTTATCCAGTAACACGTATCTTAACTTAGCGTTCGCAGTGCCTATATTCGCATGGTTCGTATTTTTAGGGATCCCAAACTTAAATAACTTTTAATTTTAGTGGATTTTAACGCCAACACGACCTGGTATAGGTGTACGTCGAACACGGCGAGCAATACTGTATTGATTGTAAGTCTTTGAAACTAGTAGCTACCTAGTATTTACGCAAGTTGTGTAATACTAAGAAATTTTAGCTTTTAATTGTTTTTTTTCAGTGGACTGTAATCCTACAGTATGTGCTGCCGTTATTGATCATGATCCCCACTTATGGGTGAGTCTTGCTCTCATTCTCTTTCTCTCTGCTGATCTCGCTCTCTCTCTCTCTCTCTGCCCCTCTCACTCTCTCAAAATAAACCCAAATTTTAGACACCTCGCCCACTTTGTCTGGAAGCGAGCACCAGTAGGCGTTCAATCACGCGAAAAACGAGAACGAGCTCATCGTCGGCGAAGAAAATTACTTGTCACTCTCCTATCCATTGTCTTGTTTTTGGTAAGGCATAGTACCCATTTTATAGTTTTTCCTAGCTGCTGGTAGCTCTGTCTGTCGACTTCGTCGGTGCGTCGGTTTATCTGTCTAATCGAATTTTATGTACAACCGCTTCAATGTCCGCATGTTTGGGTGTTAAATTTTGCCTTTTTCAGATCGTTTGCTGGTTACCCCTCTTCTTCGTCAACATTTTGATGAGCTGGAAGCTGATCCGGGTGGAGATCTACACGAGGGCGTATATCTACTGCTCTATCGTGACGTTGGCTGGGGTGGTGATCACGCCGATTTTCTACTTGATCAACGATGGGTGCAGGTAAGGCAAATATGCATTACACTCCCGCCCCGTAATTTTTGTCCGTTTCGGTGTTAAACCCATAAAATTATATTGCGAATCCAAAATATTGGGATAGTGGTTATGTTTATTGGGTCCCCCGGGTTTTACTAGGAGTGATAGACGTCCTAAGGTGGCAAAGACCGATGCAATTGCTCAAAAATGATGGGTTTTTAGTATTTTGGTCCGTTTAAGAATATAGTAAGTGAACGAGCAGACTTAAGACCTTCTTTTTAGGGAACAAGTAACACGGTTATTCTGCTGCCGAACAGTGCCTGCATCGGAACGAGAACGTCAAGCGTTGATGACAACAAATCCTTATCCAGGTGAGTTCAGCAACCACAGAAAAGAACCAAGTTTTTCTCTCCTCTCATTAAAGTTTTTTTCCGTTTCATAGCTTCTTGCCGCAAATTATTTAATTGCCATATACAAATCAACCTAAACGTCATCCAGAGTAGCGTGGCGGAAAACAAAAGCGCTATTTGATTTCTGATGTATTAAAAGTAATTTCGAGTGTACCTTTGAATCTAAATTTTCTTAAGTTCCTCGTGTGCTTCCATAAGTTCATATCAAATCTTTAATTTTACCTTTTATTTTATGGAGTGACTAACATTAAGTTCAAACTTTTTGCGGCGTGCTGACCTTGGTTAATAGGGTTTCGTGATTTCAAAATTGTCTTGATTCTCTTGGGAGTAGATATTAGGCAAAATAACTGTCATAAATGCTAAATTTCTTCTTCAAATTCTTATTCATCATCATGCAATTAAATCTGAGATAAGCTCGATTCATCCATTTCGCCAAAATCAAGCCTTTTATGCAAATTATAATATTTCGCGCGCTCTCCTGGCCAGCATGACCTCTCCGGTGTTCTGTTTTGCAGAACGGTCGTGCGAGGTTGCCGCGTGGTTTCGCGAGACTGGAACGACGAATGTGCTCGTCTCCGTATCCGCCTGTACGTCTCCCGAATCGGAAAAGAAGCACCGGAACAAGGCATGGGTCATTTCGAGGAGACTTTCAAGCTGTTCGATATGGCTTTAGAGTCTTTTGAATTGTGGTGTGCTGCTTGAGAATCTTACTAGAGCCAGAAGTCAGAGAGAGAGAGAGGGAGAGAAACAGAGATAAACAGAGAAAGAGACGGAGAGAACGTGAGAGAGAGAGAGAGAGAGAGAGAGAAACAGATAGAAACAGAGAAAGAGACGGAGAGAACGTGAGAGAGAGAGAGAGAGAGAGAGAGAGAGAGAGAGAGAGAGAGAGAGAGAAAACGACAGCGAGACAGAGAGACTTACTAACCTTAAAACCGAATGCCTAACTTTCACTGCACGTGCCCGAATAAACGCTAAACATTGCCATAGTTTTTCGCGATCCTTATTTTTGCATTAATAGAAGCTTCTAGGGGCACATTACCTAGGCTTTGCCAGATACGCATATTAACGCAGTTTGAATTTTTCTATTTGTTGAGAATTGTTTTATTTTACCCATTTTCAGGCCAACTCCATACCCCGCGAGAGTCTATGAGTGTGGCGACTACATTTGGAGTGTCGTTGAGCCACTAGAAGAAGATTACGCTTGACTACGCTACGCCACAGCCACGCCGCCATCTGCCATGAAATCGTGTCGGCTAAAAAAATTGTTTTTGAAGGCTTTGAAAAGGACTGGAAAGTCGTAGCAATATTGAACCTATCTGAGGGGAACATGGTATTCAAATTTCTCCCTGTTTTAGAAATTTTTAGATAAGCGAAAAACATGACTTTCCGGCCCTTCGAAAACTCTAAATACCTTTGGTTGATGCTTCCCGCTCTGTACTTTGTACTTATCGAAACTTTTCTACGCCATTCTTATTTCTGATCTGATTTCCCTATATCGATCTCAACAGCCGTGTCCAAAGAAAATCTCGAAAACGGGTACCTTTTTTGCTACGTGCGTATGACGGATAATTTATTTGTATTTTTCCCCATGATTTGGTCTGTTTCCCCCCAAAAAATCGGGTTGTGATTCGTTGGAAAATGTACTGGCTTGCTTCTTAATGAAGTTATGTTTTTTGGAAAATCGAATTAGACTCGGATACGCTAATCGGCCTTCCCTTAAAAACAAATTTTCCTATTTTTGATTCGCTACTGTAATCAAACTTTGGTGAACAAGCTTAATTCGGGTGGCAAGAATTTAAATACAAATTTTTAAATTTCAACTAAGTTTTTAAATTAACGGCTTGTGAAGAAATCAGGAATTATTGCATTTAAAGCCGATTTGCCTATTTTTATTTGGTATTTAAGGGTGGAAAATGCATTTACTTTACATGATTTGCTATTTGACTTGAAAAACTAATCTTTCGATAGGTTTCAGCGCTTCAAATGCGTTAAAAACGCCCAAAACCGATGCAAATTTCATTTTCCGTCTTGTCCCTTTCGGCTTCCCTATGTACGGTATCTCTACATCGGTTAATAAAATGCTTTAAATGACAACTGCAGTTTGTAATAGCAATAGTAAGTGAATGTTATGGTTTGTAGGGTTCAAAAATTCAAATTTTACATTTTTTATCAATATCACAGGGAGGGGTAGCAGATTGATTGCATTTCGCACACAGACATAGGCAGAAAACCAAAAATGGATGAGCAAATTCTCGGAAAATTCGAATTGATTTTTGAGGGGAATCTGATGGATTCGCGGATTGTGAGGGTGGAGGCAACGTTGAGCAACTATAGACAGCAAGGTTTGCATAAGACAAATTGGAGGCTTGAGATGGCAATACTTTTCGGCGGCTAGAAGTGCATATCCGTATCGAGGTATTCGGAGAGCTTGTCTTCGGGGGGTGATCGTGTGTAGCCCTGAAAAATTAGACAATTCAGTGTGTAATTATGCAAATTAGTAGGTAAGTTGTCTAAATTGTCATGAAAATTATTAAAATCCACCCAAAAACATGCAAAAAATAAAAATAAACTGAAAAAATAGCACACTTCTTACCGTAATCCCTGTTTCCTACTGGCGTTTCTAAAATTCAGAAATATTTTCTGCTAGCTGTTATGCATATTTGAGCCTTTTAGAAATATTCTTATAAACCAAAAATTGACTCAAAAAAACTTAGTAAACTGAGGTGATTATGTTGAGTTTTTAAAATTCTATTTTTTCAAGTACCGTAGTGTTCGAGCGCATCGTTGCGTAGTCAGGCAGTTTTTTCTGGAAAATGCCCAGGATGCAAATTTATGTTTTTCGGCCATCGCCGTCTTCTAGCTATGCCTAACTACCTAGATGTTACGAGGAACAACTTTCAAACGTTAAAATGACCCATCCCCGACAAAACCTACCCCATTCAAGTAGCCCTTGTCGTTGAGGTCGATCTCATCGTCCTCGTGCTCGACATCACTGTCATAGTCATCATCGGCCGCTGTGTACGACTTGTATTCATAGTAGAAGATGGCCATTAATGCGAACACGCCGATGACGACCGCCATGCAGACTAAAAAAATGTTTTTTAGAATATTTCTAGGAATGAGTTATACTAGGTCTAGTGAAACCCCTAAATTCCGAAAGAGCCTTTGCTAGATTGCCCCAGGATGAGCGATAGTGAGCCAGCTTTAAGAAAACTCACTTGCATACACGAAGAACATGGTGGCCATGTTGCTGAAAGGATCCCAGGCTGTGATTCCGACGATGATGGTGTCTCCTACAGCTGTTGTCAGAAGCCACGCTGCTTGCACCACGGCCTTCATCGATGGGGCGCACTATAAAAATCAAATTGTGCAGCCGTTTCGGTACGGTTTGGCATTTTTTTTCTTCCGGTTCCGGATTTTTTATAGGTCTAGAATTGGTCTAGTAAGGTGGCAGTACGCATCTCAATAATGCTTTTAGTAAAATTTTAACCCTATGTCGAGTGCACCGCTATCTATTTAACAGATTCTAAAACCGTTTCAAATGGTAATTTTTCTGGAAAATTGGCCATGATAAAGAAAGAGCGGCCGAAAGATCAATATTCAAAAGATCAAAATCAATATGAATTTTTCTAATAAAAACTCTACAGTTGCTTGCTTAGGAACAGAAAACTTTGCTTTGAAACATTACCAGTGTCTATATTAGAAAAATTGAGGCAAATAAAGCTCTGGCCCCTCCTTACCTGCGAATAGGCAAACTCGTAGCCAGTGATGGAGAACAGAATTTCGGCTGCTGTCAGGACCACGATTTGGGGTACCTAAAAGAATTATATAAAATTTATAGTATATCAATCAATAGGAAAATTTCTTCGCGCAAAACCATCATAAATAATCTTCACTTTCTTCTGCTGTCAGGTCCCCGTTTAAAGGTCCACCAACCTGCCAGAGGATGCTGACGGAGTTGTCCTGGACGATCTGCATCGACGGCATGTAGCCGTCCTCTTGGGTGAGGGCTAGCGTTTCATTGGTCTAAAAAATTTGCATTGATCGGCCGCTTTCTAACGGGATGGATATAAATTTAATGTGCCTTTTTGTCAGTAGTTACCTCAATGTGGTATCCCGAAAATGCATACCTGGCTGCTGAAGATTCCGAAGAGATACACACCGCCCTGGGAGCGGATGTAGATCGTCGCGTTGAGTGGGGTGACCTAGAAAACAAAATTTTAATCGATGGTGTTGTTTTGTTTTATTGAGACTCACTAAATCGAAATGGGCGGTGATTTCTGGAGGTCATTTCGAAAATTTTGCAACTCACATCAACATGTTCCGGCGTCGTCTTTCCGGCGTCCTTTGGTGTCGACGGCAATTTGTACAACCACCAACTGAAAATCATAAATATCACGTCGATTTGGAATATGGCAAAGTCTGTGGTAAAGTTTGCTTAACGGGGGTGGAACCAAGTTACAAGTTTTACAAGTTACCCGGAAACTTTGGAAACGCCATCGGATAGGACGTGAAAAATTATGCGAAGATATCTAATTTCAGCCCGAAAAAGCTCATTTACGACAATTAAACACTTTTTAGCTTAACAAAGTATTAACTTTAAATAACCATAGTTCAGGGTAATTAAACCTCTAGTATAATTTTGCGACGCTCTAATCAATAGCATTCATGAATTCGCGATAAAATGCCATCGTGCCGAAAATACCAATCATATTTTTGCTCGTTGTTTTAGTTGTCAGGTCATATTTTAATAATCATCAAATAGGATATCTTTCGATGCTTTATCCTCCCCCGTTAAGCAACCTTTTCCGCAAAATCAACCGCAGCCTTTAACCTCCATTCGAAAAGGCTACTTACCGCCCGGGCTTCACCGGCTTCATCGAGTACTGCGTGGCATACGTGGGCAGGTCGGGGTGGGTCGTATTTGCCGTGGGGTTACGGAAGTAGGTGAGCTGATCGTCACGATCATCTTTGCCCTGGTTGTAGTTGGATTCCCAGCTAAAACAGTGAATTCGCGTCGTTCGCGTCGCAGGTGCCGCGTCGCACTCGTAACTTGCTGCGTCGCGTGTTAACTGGGGGGTTAAAGGGATGCCGACGGCATAGTCAATCGGTTACGCGCTGGAAAGAAAGTATCTCTGTGCCTCTCCCGAGGGCGCGCTCTCTGCCTTGTTGGCTACTTGCCAACTTGTTGATGGGGGAGGGGACGGCAGCTCTTGGGGGGTCAGGTAGGCATTGTTGAAAATGCTTGTTGATCCCCCCGTAGTGGGCGGAGGTCAACAAACATTTTCGATTCTCCCTTCCTACCCCCTATAAATAAGGCCCAGCGGAATTCTGACAGATGCGGGACCAGAAACTTACTAATAGAAATCAGTCGGTTTTCTCGGCGAGCAGGGCGGATCTTTTGGCAGCCCGGTCTTGTCGTCGGCTCGACAAACCACCATATTTTCCTGGTCGGTACCGTAGCCGTAGTCTTTCTTCATCGCCATCAGCAGGCTAAAAATGGCAATTTATTGGGTATCTCAATAAAAGAGGTCCCTCTGACACTTGGGCGTTTCGGATCGCCGAAAACATGAAAAAGGGCTTTCCGGGTCGCGGAAATTGGTTACATAACTCCCGTTAATTTTTTTGCAAAGTTTTGCGCTAAATTTTTAACAAATAAGCAATATGACGTTGTTGAGAGTCTGTTGAGCCACAATCTGACTTCATAAAAAAGCCCAAAAAAAAGCAGTTGTTGGATTTTCACCCACCCTCCGCTGAACTCTCCAGTTCCCTGTTCCGGCTTGTCCGTGTCCGCCACGCCGACCAACACGCCCAACGGTGCGACGACAGCAAAATAGATCTTTTCTTTCTTGAAATTGGTCGTCAACGAATCCGGCAGGATCTTCTAAATCTGTACGGTAAGTCTATTTTTAAAGAAACATTCATAACTTCCTTCAATTCTTACCTTGTTACAAACGGTATCGTCATCAGCGGGCGAGTACGTGAATTTGAACGCGATCGCGCCAGCGGCGTGGTGGAACGTCTTCTCCCCCGCAACGTCGCCATGCTTGGCGATGTCTTTCATCGACTAAAATAACGAATTTATCCTGTCTGAAGCCATGCTGACTACCATATTGTATGACAGAGTCCTCATCGAGTCCATGTCGTCGCCCATCATGATAGTGACATTGCAGCCGGGGTGGTGCATATTGGAGAAGCCGACAAACACCTGGCCGCTGTCGGGGAGCACGGCTAGGGTTTGCTAGAATTAGATACATAGAAGCGTGCATTAAATACTATAGTATGATATATTTCAAGTAAAAGCGTCAGTAGATTACTTTGATAGTAGTGAAAAACCAACGTTAACCCTGAGCTGCACGAAACCGGTGATCGCGAATGAGCAGGCAGCAAGGAGACCTCCAGCCACCATTTTTCGGAGAGGTCTGAAAACTCAGTAAATTTTAAATGTAACGATCAGTGATAATATTAAATTAGAGGGGCAGGAAAGTCCTAACTTCGACCCCTCGATTGCCTAGGTCCAGACAACTCCGAGCTGCCACAAATGCTCTACGTATTCCGGCAGGAGTCGATTGCGTTTTTTGGCCCCTTTAAAACGTTTGAATCCCTTACGTAAGCTCGAAGAACTTGGACGCGATCGGGTAGACGATCACTTGGAAAATCGGGATGAAGCACAGGATCAAGACGGCGTTCAGCACTTGCACTTGATCGGGCATGAAAAGCACGTTGCCCCACAGACGGCAGTCCATTTGAATACCTTAACGAGATTATAAATTCTGACGCTGCGGACCAACCTTGAATAAGCCAGACGGATCCCTGTTGATCGTAAAGAGCCCAGAACATGGGAACGGGGAGGAACATGACGAGGAGTCGGAGAAGTTGCCGGACATCGTCGACGTAGCCAAGCTGAAGAGGTTTAAGAGTAGATAAGCGAGAAGTTGGAGCCGTTCAGGTTCTAAGCAGCTAGAATCTGCGAGACTTGGTGCGTTACGTTTCGAGTCGCGCTTCACCTTCGAATAACACCCCCTCGAACGCATAGCGGATGCGTCGCGTCCCCAAGGGGGAAATTAGCTAGCGTAATCGAATATTCCCGCCAATTTCAAGTGGAAATTTGACTGGAAAACTCTTCATACCTTATGGCAAGCATTCTTGTTGTGACTGGTCTGCTTCAACTGCTGGCATCTGGGGTCGGAGTCGCAGCTGTGGGTCGTCATGTAGTGATCCAACCAATGGGCCTTTGGCTCGCGGGCCTTCATCTTGTTGATGCCGGCGCGCTAAAAGTAACGTTAAGTAATCATTATACAAATATTTAATAAAGTTCGTAGAGGCAGTCATTGTCTGTGCCGAGGAAGATTTTTACCCCGATGATCTTGGCGACCTCCGAGAAGACGTTGTCGCTTGGCGGCGGTTTCTTATACCAGAAGGAGCCGAGCATGAAGAGGACTGAAATAATAAAATAAATATTTCCTTAAAAAGTGGACCCCAGATTCCTCAAAGATCTCTGCTAGCTTACTTCAAATTCCTGAACCTACCTGTTGCGACAATCATCAGAATGGCCGGGATACCAAAAGCCAGCGGGTAGCAGGAATCTTGTCCCAGACAGGTCATCGCTGAAATTACCATATTATAAGGATTTTGGTGTGTTAATAAAAAGTATCCAGGATTAATTTTTAACCTACATCGGAAAATCGGGGAGATGAAGGTGGAGATCATGGAGCCGGCGTTGATGGAGAAGTAGAACATCGAGAAGAACATGGACAGCATTCGTTCCTGGATGACGTAGGGTTTTAAGCATGATTTTCGCTGTTTTTCGATTTTTACGAAAACTTATAAGCGTAAGTCCAGGGCGAAACATTAGTATAAACCTAACTTAAGGCTACTTAAGTCAATCGGTCTATAAAACCCACATGTCCCTTCTCGAACTGATCAGCACCGAACGCTGCTACGCACGGCTTGATGCCACCGGTTCCAAACCCAATCATCACCATCCCGATCATGTCCAGCCATCTAAAGCGATTTTTAAAAATGTTTACTTGAGAGACGCTTTAATACATTACAATTTCTTTTATAAAGTTACGAAACGCCCTACTCAAAAACTTACGGATGCATACTGGACGAAGAATCCTTGGTAGACGCAATCGCCAATACGATCTGACCAGCGGCATAGAGAATCGATACGGTGAAGATTGTCCTGAAATAATGCCTTGGAAAGAAAGAAAAGGAGCTTAAAAAAGAAAGAAAAACGTGTATTTTGCGTATAAGGTCGAGGTTCTGGTGCGCTAGCGGGGGGAGCAGATTATCGTGGCCAGGAGGCCGGGCCCGCGCGCTTTTTGGCAGCTCAAATTACACATTCAAATAATCGCCATTTTTTGGGTATATCTGATGTTTTTTCGCTTCATATCCTTTTCAGCGTTAGAATCTCATTTTTGGTGTTTTTGGCGACTTTCCATAAATGATGACAATATTTTACGACTCCTACAATCACTACTACTACGACTACTCCAAATTTCCGCTTCAAGAGACCTCTGAAAGCCACTTTTCGATCTAATCAATCCTAGCCCCACTCCCTCGACGCCACCCTGTAGATGCCCCATTTTACAACCATCACCGCGACGCCATCAAAAATTCCCTTGCTCTCTCAATTTGGTCCCGTTTCCTGGGAAAAGCCACGCGAAAGTCTCCTACAGCCCGGGGGAGGACAAATTCTGGGTGCTTGGCTTATCGGTGTCTTGCGGACGGAAAAAAATCGGACTAGCTGGAAGCGGATGGGGCTTAGGGTCTGGTAGCGATATCGTTTTTCGGAACTTTTTCAGACAGTGCTTTTTAAGGGAGAGAGAGAGGGGGAGAGAACGAGAGAAACTGTCACTGACCAGAATTTCCCAACGAAACCATCAGCAATAATCGATCCGAGGACGGGCGTCAAATAGCAAAGCACAGTGAAACCGTTGAAGAAAATTGTCGACTGGTTGTCGGAGAACTTCAACACGTTCAGGAGGTAGAATGTGAGCACAGCTGAAAAGAGCGGGATTCGTTTGCCAAATCGTTTTGTTCGAGGCGTAGTCGAAGCATTTTTAAGGTTTCTTAAATCAGCATCTATGTTCAATTTAAGGTACTTATAGGACACCCTTAAGCCAAACTACAGTATATTTCCGTTTCTTTGCTTTTTCTCTTTTTCTGCCCCATCATTCGACTTATGGCATTATGGATTTTAAGCCGTTTTTGGCCCGTTTTGCTGGCCGGTGATGGGACCGATCGCGTGGCCAGGGCATTTTGATAAGACCTGGCCGAGGAGATGCCATCAACTTTGTCAATAATATTGACTCAACCTGATCAGCTGGGTTACCCAAAGTACAGCGTTTTGTCGCAGCTGCCGAAGGTTATCCGAATCGGATGCCTGAGTTAACAGCTGGCTGGACCACTTTTTGAGCGCCTTTTTTGGTGAATCATGAATGAAACAGTTAGGCAACGCCCCGAACCAGTCAGGGTGGAATTCGATAACTTATCGGAAATTCAGAAGTTGAAATTTTTCAAAGATCCGCTTGACGCGGAGCGTTAACGTCATCAACCTACGCCAGATCTTAGAAGATAAATGCCGAAATGCCGACAACCTGAATGCCGACAGCAAAAGCGCCGATACAGCAAAACACCGGCAAGGTAGCTGCCAAATCGCCAAAGGCTAAAGCCCGACGACAACCGTCCAATTCAGCGAGTTCGATTGTTGGTAATTTGGCTAGCCGTATCTTGACTGTCGGCATTTCCGATGTAAGGATTCCGATCCATTTAATTTTGCTTACGAACTACCACACGTTTTTCTTCCACTTCATCTGTCGAAAAATTCCATTCGCCCTGGCAGAGAGGGCGTTTGCAATTGCCTGCTTATCAGCCCGAAAGGCCACCCCAAATTGGCATCACCATCACATCAGAATAATCCCCTCAGTTAGGGGATGGGAGATAAAAAAATTTAAATCCGATAAAACAAGGCTTATCGATTTTTGAGACATGATTTAACATGAAAATTCAAGAAAATTGGCTTACTTCTCATTCCATAGTAAGAGAATCGTTCGCAAAACTCGTTGGACACGATGCAAAATGTGGTTTTTGGCCAAGCCTAAAAAATAACAAATATACCGACCTTGCTTACCTATATATGTCAAAAGATATCGAATTATATAATCGTAAGATACCTTAATCATTTCCGGCCATGTTGTCGGCTCCTTGAATGCCTCCTTCTTCGGTTTCCGCCGCCGCACCTCCGAGCCAGAGCTGGTGGATTCTGAAACGAAAGGGGATTGTGAAACTAGAGTATCATTTAACGCATTAATCCGGTAGCTCATCGTTAAAATACACTTTAAAGCATTGAACTTACCTTCATCCACCTCCCCCCATGGTTTGCCCATCTTGCTGGTCTGTGTGAGCCGAGAGCTGCTACTCGGCGGTTTCACCCAAGTATCGGAAGACTCCTAAAACTTGGTTTGGAAGAGAGAGAGAGAGAGAGAGAGAGAGAGAGAAACAGTCGCAGAGAGAGCGAAAGCAAATGAGAGAAACAGTGAGAGAAGGCGAGAGCACGCGTGAGCACGCGAGAGAGCGAGAAAGAGGGCGATAAAATAGTGAGAGAGCCAGAGAGAAAGAGAGAAAGAGAGATAATGTAGCAGCTCCGTTTCCCGATCCTTAAGGGGAATAGGACGACAAAACCATGGTTGAAGTAGAAAACACTCATAGAAACGTCCTTCTATAAAATCGAATAAATTATCAGACACGCCGGCCGCAAAAACGAAGCAACCGAAAATTGAATGCCCCGATTCTCCCCTTGGTCTCCTTGTAGCAATGGCTTATCAGCGCTTCAGGCCGAGACCCCGAAAAACTGAGGCGGTGGCAAAATTTTCTGCGGCGCTCCGGCCCTTTTCTAGCCCCGTCGCCATTCACGGCTTCTCCTGGGGCTGAGAATTAAAAGATTTGGTGAAGGGGCAGGGCGAAGGGTGAGCCGTTGAACCCTGATGGACCCTGACGAAAAGGTGGAGGGCAAAAAGTGGCGGTGATGATTTATCGGGGGCGCTAAAATTGACAGGTACGACTTTTAAAGCTTAACGCCAGTGACAGCTGCAGCTTTTCCTTCGTACGCCATTGTTTTCAAGATACTCATCGAGCTCACGAAACACAATTTTTTAAATCTGCGGACTTTCGGCTTACAAAAATTCAAAAATTGCGGAAATTCCTTTTCTTTGTCCTTGACTACGGGCTTTTTCCTTTGTTTTCAAGACTTTAGTAGCTCAGGGGTTTCTATAAGCATTAAAAATATATTTTTCTGATGCTTTTCATCACATTAGCGAAAATGAAAGTCAACCGTCTATAAGTTTAATAAGAACAAATCACCAAACAACTTTTTAGAACTTTTCAAGAGTAGATTTATAATTTGAAAGCTAGAGAACGACAAATAGACGTTTGTGAAATAATTTGTGCAAGGAAAAGCGCAAAGATCTCTGCAATTTGGTACAAAAATGTGAAAAGATGAGCTGGCCGTCCTTCAAAACAGTCCAAACAACAAAAGACTCACTCACAGTTGGTTATTTGATGCCCCCTCCATCGTACTTCTTTCTTTTTCGCCTTACCTTTTCACTTATCAATTTACCCAGGCCCCCAATAGTTCCAAATGGCCAGTGTTTTTCGGAGTAGCTAGCGGAGTAGTAGTGGAAAAATGCGGCAAATATTTGATCAGCTGTTAGGGGCGGTGAGGGGTATGAGGAAGCTAATTGTGAGTTGGCGAAATAGACATTAGAAAATTTCAAAACGGCAATAAAAAATAGGTAAAGGCCATACAAAACTTCAAAGGTTTTCTGTTCTTTGATTCGAGATTGAATGCTCTGGTTCAGGCTGTTAGATCGATACTCGAATGCTGCGTGTTTATAAACGTCAGGACACAAAACTTCACGACCTTGGACGTACTGTTTCCACTTTTGTCTTTTTTCACACGATGGCATTGTTAAAACAAACTTTTGAAGTGAAAATTTGGACAGAGTGATTCGAATAATACCCTCCAAAATTGTCAAAAATCTTAAGGGGTAATTTCTTTCTAAAAAATTATCCTGTTCAACCGAAATAACGTGAATTCCCAAAGTCTGTATTTATGTATGTGTCTGTAGTATGTTGTATGAGAAAATTCGTAGAATCGAAAAATCGAGTGATCCAGCGCACCCTAAACTCCGCAATCCATAAAACCGCAAATCCCGTATGCAATGCTGATCCGGTTTTATTGATGCGGTTTGTTCAGGTCTCTTCTATGACATCAACATACGCTTTCCAAATGACTCACACTATGCGTATAGTGCGTCATTTCGAACGCGCCGTGCTACTAGTTTTACGGAGGTGGAAAGGTATCGAAAACGCGTTAATGAAACCCCAGAGCCGCTGGAAAACCCATTTTTCGGGATGTTTTCGATACTTTGACTCCTTGTCCACTCACTTCCATTCTGAAGCTTTACTGTGGAATTTTTTTTGAGAATTGAAATTTCTTGAAGACAATTTCTGGCTCCCGGACGCGTACTATCGGTTGATGTTGTCGAAAGGCCACGAAATTTTTCGAAGATTTCCAAAAATCTTCTTAACAGATGTCTATTAAAGCACAAGTTGATGTATCCAGTTTTCATCGCTACATTGGCAACTCTCTACGCAGAAATACCTAGCGGGAGTGCCAGTCATGGTGAGTCTCATTCGTTCAGAGGTGTATACGTACAAACCACCGTAAAAGTTAAAAACGTACAGCTGCCTTGCATCAGATCTCTAGCCGAGCATTAGCAATATAATTCGCACAAATCCTTTATCTCAGCGCCGTCAACCTCGATCCGCTTATCAAAAATCATCTATCTTTGTTTAGCTTGCAGAAGTCTGACGGAATGGCTTTTCCAGGGTGGCCGGATCGTCTCAAAATACGGGATGACGTTGGCAGGTCAGCCGCAGCTTTAAATTTGGCTCGAACGGGCTTCACAGCCTACAAAGATTGGAGATGGGGCAGTTGATAAGCAACGCCTGGGTTGTCGAGCAAAATTTAGACCCTTGCCGATTGGAATTTGGGGATGGAATTTCGAGTTTGGGACGATCGGGTACTCAATGTGCAGGGAAAAGAAATCCTTGAAAAAGCCAGGCTATTTTTCGAAAAGTGTATAAAGAGATGTCAAGAGAGAGCGAGAGTGAGAGAAAGTGAGAGAGAGAGAGAGAGAGAGAGAGAGAGAGAGAAAGAGAGAGAAAGATAGGAAGAATAAAAATAGATATTTCGCCGTTCACCATTCCAACCGTACCCTGGATTATGCTTTTTTTTATTTGTTAAAAACGCCCGGCTGATTCAAAGCTTTTCGCTTTCAGCGAACTAGATTTTTGACGATTACAGCCTCGTTTAAAGCATTAGGGTTCTTTGACTTTTTTTTGAAAGCCATAAATTGTTAGAATCCCGTCCTTGGATCTACAAGAGTAGGATCCCCTCCTCTAAAGATCCTATCCTATAAGCGAGAAAAGTATGTTTGTTTTCTGTTCAGCCGATTTCTCGGCCGCCAGGCCGAATTTCCGGCTGATTTTTGGCATGTAGGTGGAGAAACACATTTGTCAGTGAAGCAATTTTTTGTTTCTCGAAATTCCTTCATTTAACGATTTTACAAGGAAAATAGTGAAAAATCCTTAACATTTTGGCCGAACAAAGGTTTGTTCAGAAGATATCTCGATTACCAGACCGAATCGGGCTCTAATTTTTGGAGAGTAGATTGAAAATCGAATTCTCCCGATATATAATTTTGCGTTTTGTCTGTTTTTGCAAAATAAAGTTTTTATGAGCATTTTTCTAAAAAGTCCTTAACAAAATCGGCCAAGAGCCGTGGTGTTCGGGCCATAACTCGAAACCCAGATGGAATTTCGGTCTGTAATTTGGACCACTTATGTATTCGATGGTGGGGATCATGCGCATCTTATTATCTTTACAAATTTTCAGCGGATTGAAACTCAAAAATGGAATTTTGTAAGGTGACCAGAAGGCCTCCCGCCCGGGGCATTGGCTCGGCCCTTTGTTTGCCTCCCCGCCCCTCCCCAGAACGGAAGAGGCCTTTCCCGCCCCCTGTCCCCATGTGCCTCTTGGTGTATGGGGTTAGCTCCCGGGCTAGCAAGCGGAAGGACATAGGTTCGGATTCTGGGCGAATTTGGCTTTTTGCTTTTTGGTAGTTTAGCAGCAAAACATCTTTCTATGCTCTCGCTATGCGAGGTTTAGGCCTGACCCTCGATCTAGCGCCGCAGGCCAAAGAAAAGGTCCTTGACCCAGGCTCTAGCGCCGCAGGCCTAGGATGGGTCCTTGATCCTGGCTCTTGCGCCGCAGGCCAGATCCTTGAGAACAACCAGTAACTAGCGCCGCAGCCAAAGATTTCTAGCGGGAGGTTTAGGCCTGGCTCTGACTCTAGCGCCGCAGGCCAAAGAAAGGGTCCTTGATCCAGGCTCTCGCGCCGCAGGCCAAAGAATGGCTCCTTGACCAACGTGCTTGCGCCGCAGGTTAAAAAAAAGGAAGGTGTTCAGATTCATGGTTCCTGGACGGGGTCCAGTGGAAAAGGGCCGCGAAGCGGTCTTTTTCCACTGGTTACAAAAAATTTAAGAAAAGGCTTTCAGCCTTAACCATCTTCAGTTTAATTTTGCGTTGTCCCTGGATAACATTCTCATTTTCTAGGTCATGTTTTTTTGCTTCTTCTTTTTTTGTAGTCTTACTTTTTCGATGTGACGTTCCAAGTTCTAAACTATCGTGCCTACTCGGAGAGCGCAAGAAAGGAAAAATTCTTTATCATAGCCAAAATCGTAGGGTACAGGTAAGGGTTATGGGAAAGCGTAGTAGGAGATAATCAGGCTTTTTCGCAATTAAAAACGGGGTACAAGCAGCATCCATCATCATCACAACCGGCTTCACGTTAGATCGACAGCATTCGGGCAAAAATTTGGGGTAAATTTTAAGGGGAGTGGTCAGGAATTTTCTTCCAATCAGCTTTAAAATTTTTCTGGACGCCAAATTACAAGTTTAAAGGTTTTTAAAGTTGCAGGCGCTGGTGGACTAGTCAAATGTGATAAATTACGCAGGGGTTAAATTACAAGGAGGCGGTTTACAGCAAGGTATATACAGCGATTAGCTGCCAGATTCTTCAGGGTAATTCCGGTGGCTTACAGCTTGTCGTTCTCCGGGTCGTGGGGTTCTGAAAAACCTGGGTTGTAGCTTGTAGTTTTCCGCTTTCTTTCGTTAAGAAAAAGCATCTGCTAGCCCCTGCCTAGTTAAGCTGGTTCGGATTTCCTGTAATTTGTAGTCTCTAGGATACGTCTCCCTAATAAACTCTGCGAACTTACCCTTACCTTGTGGCTTCCCCTGCATGTTCAACCACGCCGCCATTTCCGCTGCTTCCTGATCGCTGACGGCTGCCGTTTTGTCGTTAACAACGGTTCGTAGCCCGACAGCTGCTTGGGGCTCAGCATTGGCTTTGTAGGCTCTGAAATTTGCGGTTCCAAATGAAAAATTCACTACTAGGCGTAAATAAATTGGCATTTGAGAATGATAAACACCTACTCAGCTGTCGAAGATGAACTGGCAGCCGTTGACATTTCTAAAAGCATCAGCTAAAATTTTTTTGATAAGTTAGACTCACTCAGTCCGCTCAGTTGATCAGCTACCGAGGCGGCGGTCGGGTGATCAATTAGACTATCAGATGGGGCGGCGGCTTGTTGTGCGGGCTAAAATTTGGATACTTTATAACTTTGCAAACTCGATACATCCCGCTTTAGTATATTGATTAATGAAAGTTTTACATGATTTTTGCTTAAAATCTCCGACCTCTTCTTTCTCCTTGTTCGCCATGAAGCGCTCAAACTTCTCGAAGGCGCCGTTGAACTCGTCGTTGACCAGCAGGAGTTCGCCTGAAACGTTATATGAATGGTTTATTCAACCGGGTATTTTGGAAAGAGTCGGACTAATTTTGCTTCTAGAGCTTTCTAAAATTTCGCTTTATTACTATTTCTAATACCTTTTCCTATCGTAATTCCTCCTATCTTGACTTACTTGTAACTTCATCATTGGTCACTTGTCCAATCAACTCCAACACTCGCTGCTGCATCTGGCGACAGGTCTGGTTGAGCTCCAGGATAAGCTGCAGCTCATCGTCGGACACTTTGTTGGGCGTGATTTCGGTCAGCATCTCGCGGAACACCTAGACGGATTAGGTTTTGAGGTCAGAAAGCCGCAAGCTACAGAAAACGTACATATACAAGTTTTATGTAAACTTAGTATGTTCTTACCTTCAAATTGCAGTTGACCACATCGATGTCCTGACGCAATTTGGCGAGTTGCTCGGCTGATGCCTCTAACGGGACTTCAGAATGGGGAGCGACTTGGTAGGTCTGAAGGTAGTTTAGTTTTGGGATAATTTCGCTTTTTCAGCGTTTAGTTTTGTAAGGCAGCTTTTAGTAAGCAACTCCACTTACTTCTATGTTAGCTTAGTTGTAGTTTGTAGCTCATGAATTTTTTCGGGTATGGTTTTTCGGGCCTTTAAGGCCAGAACGGAAAGATATTTTAATTTGCAATCCCGAAACACCTTTGAAAGCTCGAAAAGATTCTTAAAAATCAGTACTACACCATACAACAATTACGACGCGATATCGGAAAAAAACAGAACTTATATATTACATTTGTAACATTACTGTACCTGTCGACTTCTTCCAGCTGGCGGCGCTGCGGCGGCATCGGCTGCCGGGTCTTGCCAGGCCTGGGCGGCTGGTTGCTGTTGGGGCTCCGGGTACACGGTCTACAACCACGGCACGATAGATTTACGAAAGCAAACCAAAATGGTAACCACAAAGGCATACATTCCAAGAAAAAGCTTACAAAATAGGCTATTTAACTATTTTACTGGCTTTTTTACTAGCCCATTTCGTAACTTTGATACTTACCCGTTTCGGTGTAATAATGGGTGCCAACGTGTCCAAATCGGCGGCCGGGAATTCAACCCCCTTCGATCGGAGCTCGTCATAGACCTGTCGGACCCCGACAAGATCGGGCACATTTTGGAAAGCGTCTGTCCAAGCCTAAAATGACTTATTTGTCTTTTTAATCTTCTGATATTAAATTATATTGCTGATTCATTCATACCTGAATCAACGACAACACTCGCTCCTGAATAATCTGCGGCGCGTCAAATTTGGGCCCGACGAGCTTGACGAGGTCTTGGATAAAATCCTTGGAGCAGACGAGCACGTGAAAACGATGGTCACAGTTCTGAAACGGATTTTTATTCTTTAAAAACCTTAATTTTCTTGTCACTATTTTTGTTCTTCTTCTTGTAAAAGCTATTCCTCAAAAATCACTGCTATGCTGCCCTTTGCACCAACCTTGACGCAAGTCTCCAAAACTGTCAGCGTGTACATGATATTCGTATTATTCTTGCCGATCTGGGTGTGCATCCGCTTTCGCAGGGCCCGAATCGCGTCCTTTGGCCTGTAAGGTAATTTATTATTTTATTCAGCTACCCCAGTCAACCCGAAAAATCGCCAATTAAAATAAAACAAAACTCACAAGCAAAAACGAATATAGCTTGTTTGAAAGCCAACTAAAAATGTGCGAAATAGCTAGTCAATCAGTTTTTTACTCACCCATCCTCGTAGCCATTGATGAAGTCACAGATTTCCATGTTTAGGCCCCAATTCTCGGTGGCGAGCAGGTTGGAATCGGTGGCCAGTTCTGAATCGTTCATTTCATGCTATTTTTTTAAGTGTAGTTTTTCTTTTTATTATAAGCCTTTCCCTTTTGGCAATTTCATCCTCCCTGATCTCGAACATTCCCCCGAACTACACATGCAGATTTCCATTTTCTCGACCTCCGGCACCTCGCGGGCCTGGGGAGAACCGGTTGCGGCTCCTCCAGCCGGTCGTCAGAGGGTGCGCGCATCGAATCGAGCGACAAAAAGTGCCCCTCTTGCTGACCAGTCAGAAAATGGGGGACAACGGTCGCGACTCGAAATGGGGAGCAGCAGCTAGCCCTCGGGCTGGCCAGAATACGAGCGCGCTCTTTTGAGATCCGGGTTAATGAAAATGGCGCAAAAAAACAGCTAGACGTCTTCAAAAAGAGCTTCTTTTCCGTTTTCCAATTTTCGATCTATGCGTCTCGTTTTAAACACCTACCGATTTTCTTGCCGACCGGCGTCGCAAACGGGTTCCCTTGGAAAAAGTCGGACACTTGCTCGCCAACCTGAAAAGTACAAAACTATTAGCTGAAAACCAAAACCATTTCCCAATCTTGGGAATAAAAATAAAACCCACATTATGCGCAGCCTCCTTGGCCGAAACAGCGACCTGCGAGAGCTGCTCCTTGACGTTGGACATCCCTAGAAAATGCTTTCTTCGTAAAACCGTAATCCCAGGAAAGAACAAAACAAAAGGAAAACATCCTAATTAATAAATCTGATAAACCTAAAAACTACGAGCTACAATCACGGGCAAAAATCTCGATGACGTGTATCTGATCTAGGTACTATGAATTGGAAAAACCTATGTTTGAGCAATTTTTGGGAGAAAAGGCACACAACCAATACACAAACAAACCCGGGGCGAGAGAGAAATATGGAGCAACTGTGCGGGGAGGGCTTATTGAAATTGAGCAGAAAATGTAGGCAGCGGGGGAAGGCCACAGAATCAATGTACACGTGGGAAAAACAGTATATTTTGATGAGAAAAATGTTAGAATTTGTTATCTGAATACCAAAACCATGAAGAAATGACGGGATTTGGAAATGTGGATATTTCATTCGTTCTATAGACCCTAAAAACGGCGAATCGACACGCTACAATGTGATAAAAACGGCAAAAACGCGCCCAACAAAATTCGATAGAGGCGATGACAAGGCCGGAGGTGAGGCGTCGCCGCGAGCCGATGAGGGCCTGTTTGCGAAATCGCGCCCAAGCACTGCTGCTGCTATTCGGGTCCGCATGACACGGCGGCTGGTTCGGGTAAATAACGCGGGTGATAAGGGGCGCTTGACCCCTAGGGAGTATTACTGGTTTTTAGGGGATAGAGAACTAATGGGCGCACCAAATTGAGCAGGCTTAGAGGAAAAAACAATGTTTTGTTACGTTTCTCAACAGTAAAAAACGGAAAAAAAAACTAAAATTACGCTTTGACAACCTCTTCCTCGCACCACTCCCGGATAATATCCCATCGATCCGCCGGCGGCCGCCCGAAATAATTCATCTGGCACTCCGAGTAGCGCTTCTTCGGCTGTCCCACATCCCGAAAACGCGAATCGCGCCAGTTGTAGTTGAACAGATCCATCGCCTCGCGCGCCTCCTCGTCGCTCAACGCAATCTTCATCGGTTTCGGCTCCACAAAGCCATCTGGCACGACAACGTCTTTGAAAAGGACGGTGAACCGGAAGGCGAAGTGCCCGCCGTAGACTGGGTGCAGGGAGACGCCGATGAACTTCAAGTTTGGGCCCATATCCTTGACGTTTGGCCAGTCGTTGGAAATGAAGTTTGTGGGATGATAGTAGTAAGCGGCGCCAGAAACATGCCCACACGTGCACATGACAATTTTCGGCTTGCGATTCGGGTGCAGCGAGTGGTCGTGGAAGACTTCGAAGTTCATGCCATTGAACTTTTCGCACAAATCGTCGACTCTGGACTTGATAAAATCGGCGATCGGATTGGCGACCATTTCCTGGAGATCTTCAAAGCTTCCGTGCAGTTCATGTTGCACTTTTATCCAATTCTGGAACGCCACGTCAAACATGTCCGGCGTTGAGAGTACGAGGAATCCGGCGGCATTATCCTCGTATGGCAACTTGAATTCCGGCCCAACTTGCGAATTGTAGGAGCCGAGCCGGAAGGGGTAGACTTCAAAGCCATCCTTTTCCGGGAGTATCCGCTTGGTGTATTCGAGGATTTGCGCGAAATTCATGGCCATTTGGCGCCCAAGGTTTGGAGACCCGCCTGGAATTAAAATATTAGCAAGGTTGAAAGCTATAAAGTGCAAAGGGAAAGAAAAGAATTTGATCAAAATGGCCCCAGTTGCCAAAAGGCGGCGATAATGATATTGATAAGGATTACGAGCATTGATCGAACTGGGCAGTCGGTGACGAAATGATAGCCAAGTCTAAACTTAGAAGCAGCAATAAGCCCACGGATTTTAGTAAGATAACGATCTTCCACTTCCGTAATCGCCAAAAGTGCATGCGCTGATTGCGTTTTTGTCAAAAATTCAACCTAAAAAATCCTAACATTTCCTTCACCGGGTGGTGATTTTACGAAGATTCCCAAGTCAGAATACATTTCTAAACCTATTTTAGCGTCTCCCTATTGCAAAAACAAAAGTCCTGCAAACGCCACGCCTTTGAAAAACGCCCAAACCGCGCCAAAATAAACAGCCAGACAAAACGACACCCCAAAAAAATGGAAGCCCAAAATTTTGGACAGAATCAGAACCAATTCTAGAAGACGAAAAGCCTCAAACGAAGCGGAAACCACTTCGCGTTCCTCGGCCGGGGTGCCTCATTGCGAGGCGAATCGATGTGCCTCTCCGCCGCACCCTTACTCTTTCACCAGGATCTCTCACCCCTTGGCAGCCCTAGCCTAGTTACTCGCCAGTAAACAAAGACACGCCGGAAATAATAAGGCCAGAGGCGGCACCAAGTGGATAATTGGGGGTGCCGGGTAATTTTAGTCACCTGTGCGAGGCCTGGCCGTTTTTTGGGGTTAGTTTCCTAACAATTTGTTCAAGAATATAAGCTCTCTAAATCTTGCCAAGGTTTTCCATTTCGAAAAATGTCAAGCACTTTAATTTTTTGTTTGTTTTAAAGTTTTATAACAGAAAAAAATATTTGTAGTTTGTTCCCAGTCCGAACGACACCAAACGACGGAATCCGTAATTTGGCCAGCTGCGGACTGGGCTTCCCAGATTTTTTCACGGTAACTTTCCGCTTTTCCGATTTTCGGATCCTTTCAAAATTCATATTTTCCTTTGACCTCTTTTATAGAGTTTTTAGTCTTTAGAATTTCGGTGTCAACCTAAACTCTTTCTAGCTCTTTCCCCGCGATCCCTCTGACCATCACGTAAGACGCCATTTATCAGCCCATCCAGCCTGAATTGCCTTGACATAATTTTCATTTCCCCCGCTTCTGTTTTTCCACCCGATGTTCCGTCCCCGTTTAGCGGGGCGTCGACCGATTTTCCCCGGCACGATTCTCGATCGTTTTCTGGAACATATTTGAGAGCGATAAGAGCCGGCGAGCTGGATTGCGCGCTAGAGCCCAAGGCAAGAGGGCTAGTGTAAAAAAAGAGATTGACCTCGCCGCCACCGCGACCCAGATCCCAGAGCACACGTAAAAGGCGCTTGGATATTTTGCATTAGTGGGTAGATTTGAATTTATTTTGGGTTGCTTTTGAACATTGTATCAGTATCACTTGTGTTTCCTGTACTGTACTCCGGGGTTTCGTAAAACCTTTGTGTTTATCTCGGCGCCATTTCCTTTTTTGGCGCCCTCCTGCTGGGGCCACCGCGCAGTCGTAGTCGCTCATCAAAATTCCGTTTTGGCGCTCCAGGCATCGATTCGTCCAGGTGCTTCCCTTTGCTCAAGATTTTTGTCTGGCGTTGTTAGTTCCCCAACACCAGGACCCCCAATTATAAGCCGCAATCGCTCCATCCCGTAGGTCATAAATCGATGCCGGCGTTGGATAGCGATCTAGAAGGGGCGAGTTGGGGGTTAGCCTTCGGCCCGCAGGCTTGCGGTATTGACATTGACCCAGTGGCTCTTCTACGGGGTCGCGCTCAAGAAAAGAGTCGACGTGGCTGTCAGCACTGTACCCCCTAAACGCGACCTACTTACGAGTTGCGAAGCGCAGTGTCGCCACTTCATTGACCGGCATGGTCAGTGTTATTGCGGCTAGCTCTGCTTCCACCCTGTTAGCCCCGCTTTTGTTCCCCAATTTATTGGGCCGGGAAAATTGTCGTATCCGGTCACTAAACCGATTTTGGATTTTTATATGTCAAAATGCTCAGCAGGTCGAGCTGATTACAGATCAGTTGAAAAAACTTTTGGGAAACACTTCTAGCTCGAGATATGAAGCTTCAAAGTTGGCAACTGAAGTATCCGGTCACTAAACGGATTTTGGGTTTTTATATGCCAAAATGCTCAGCAAGTCGAGCTGATTACAGATCAGTTGAAAAAACTTTTCGGAAACAGTGCATTCGCGAGATATGACACTTAAAAGTTGGGCTTTACCCCGTCCCGGGTAGCTTTGCTAAAGATGGGTATGTGCTCGATACAAGCTTACTCTACAACCCAATTTGAGCCTAAAAATAAGGCTTCGTGCCACCCGGGGCCTAGTCGCTTCGGATGGGCGCGAGCTCGTACAGGGTTTCGAAATGGGGGCGCCAAGGCCGGCGAAGCGGCCGGGGGCGCCCCCATTTCGGAAGAGTGGAGCGGCAGCCCATCCGAAGCGACGGCCCACCTTGCCTGAATAAAGCCCCAAAGTCGTAGGTTTTCCAAAAGGCTTCTTGGATTGTCGCAAATCTTCTGTAGTTCGATCAGCTTCATTTTGAGATGGGATAATGACAAGGAATTTGAAAAAACAAGCAAAAAAACCTATCGGCCGGCTGTTCCACCCTGTACTCATTCCGATTTCCGCAATGTGTTGCCATACGTACTCGATTGCCCCACCTCAGTTTCAAATATTTCCGGTTATTGGACGGCATTTTAACACAGATATCTCGCGAATGCACTGTTTCCGAAAAGTTTTTTCAACTGATCTGTAATCAGCTCGACTTGCTGAGCATTTTGGCATATAAAAACCCAAAATCCGTTTAGTGACCGGATACTTCAGTTGCCAACTTTGAAGCTTCATATCTCGAGCTAGAAGTGTTTCCCAAAAGTTTTTTCAACTGATCTGTAATCAGCTCGACCTGCTGAGCATTTTGACATATAAAAATCCAAAATCGGTTTAGTGACCGGATACGACAATTTAGCCATTGGGCCAGCTGCAAAAAGTCGCCCGCGACCGCGGGAGAATGCGCTATTATACGGACATAATCCGCGCTGAATACGACTGCCAGCCATGCAGGGTGGTGGCTGGCAACGTTCCGGCAACGGACACCTTGTTTGCGTCCCCATTTTGGGGGGCCTTATCAGTTCTTTCGAGAGTTTTTATGTTAGACCGTTTTTCGGGATGATGATTAGGCCTGGAGCTTTAGGAATAGGAGATTGCTGGTTGAAAGTAGCGGGCCACTAAGACTAAGCGGGCTTAGTTCATTTCGTGCAAAAATTGGATAAAAGAGTTTGTGTTCTACTGTTTTTGCTGCTAGATGTTGTAGGTCTCAGTCGCAATAGCTAGGGCGCGAACGTTTTTTGGGCTTAATTTGATTCGTCGGCGCTAAGGACAAATTTCCGGGCTCCAGTAGGTTCGGTTTGCCCTGTCCAATATGGGCATTTCTTGAGTGGAATCCCCACTTGCAGCTCGCGTCCTTGGCCCTGGTGGCGCGCCTTACTATTTTGCTCCTGCACCACCCTCCTGCTCCTCAGCATCCAACAAAAGTTGTAGCTCAGCCGGTGTCGTGTTGGAAGGGGCGGGGGCGGCCGCGTCGCGCTCTGGCCGGGGGTAAAATCGGCGTGGTCCAATCGGCCGCAGGGGCGGGTGCTCGCGGGATGGCCTAGGCTGACGCGGCGTTATCTGCCCGCCCTACAGGCACTGTCGGCTCTCTAGCCACACACCCAGTGTCGAGGTTGTCTCAAAACTGGGCCACTCTCTAATCGTCCGCACACTTTTCGTCTGCTCCCTCCCCCGGGCCCCTCGTTCTTTTCACGTACCGCGCCGTGGGGGTCAGTGGGATTTCACCCAAGGAGCCGAGGGGGTTTCTCCACACTTCCTTCCCCTAGTCACACGTTGCCTTTCTTTTCTCATCTTTATTCAATTGCTCTTCGATACAAAGGGGCTCGCTAGCCGCCGACCGGTTCCGCGCGCTAGCCTATTTTGGTAATTTCATCATCAGTCACGTTATATAAGTTTCGCTCTTTCATTTGGTTTCGATTGTCTTCAAGAGATTGTTCAACTTCCGCACTTTCAGCCGACGATGTTGAAGGTCGTCTTCCTGGCCGCCTTGGCCCTCGGCGCCCTCGCCGTCTCCTTCGAGGAGGAGGAGAACGTCATCGTTCTCACCAAGGACAACTTCGATGGTGTTATCGAGGAGAACGAATTCGTTCTCGCCGAGTTCTACGCCCCGTGGTGCGGCCACTGCAAGTCCCTCGCCCCTGAGTACGCCAAGGTATACTTTTTACTTACTGACATTGAACTTTCTTTTTCAGGCCGCTACCCAGCTGAAGGAAGAAGGATCTCCCATCCGTCTCGCCAAGCTTGATGCCACCGTTCACGGAGAGGTCGCCTCGAAGTTCGAGGTAAATCCTTATTAAAATTTAAGAAAAACTATCGGAACGTTGCGAAATTTTTGGAGTCTGGGCAACTTTTTGAAAGAAATTAGTAATTTTTTCTTTACAGGTCCGTGGCTACCCCACCCTGAAGCTCTTCCGCAACGGCAAGCCTTCCGAGTACGGAGGTGGTCGCGACTCTGCCTCCATCATCGGATGGCTCAAGAAGAAGACCGGACCCGTTGCCAAGACCCTCGAGAACGACAAGGACCTCAGCGAGCTCGTCGACTCTGCCGATGTTGTCGTCGTCGGATACTTCAAGGCCGCTGACAACGAGAAGGCCAAGGTCTTCCTCGAGGTCGCCGCCGGACTTGATGATGTGCCGTTCGGAATCTCCACTGATGACTCTGTCAAGAAGGAGCTCGAGCTGAAGGGAGAGGGCGTCGTCCTCCGCAAGAAGTTCGATGATGGAAAGGCCGTCTACGACGAGGAGCTCACCGCCGACAACCTGAAGACCTGGATCCAGGCCAACCGCCTGCCCCTTGTCTCTGAATTCACCCAGGAGACCGCCTCGGTCATCTTCGGAGGAGAGATCAAGTCCCACAATCTGCTCTTCATCTCCAAGGAGTCCGCCGAGTTCGAGAAGATCGAGTCCGAGTTCAAGGCCGCCGCCAAGCAGTTCAAGGGCAAGGTAAAATTTGCAGCTTTTACTTTATCTTTTGTGGCATGTTGGTTTGCTGGGATGGGGCCCAAGGAAGTGCCAGGCACCGGGTGAAACTGCGCAAATAAACAAGCGTTGGGGCGCAGGGAAGGAGCAAATTTTACTGGGCAGCGCACTTAAAGTTGAAGATGGCGCGCGTTTGAAAATGCACTAAATGATTTGGCGAAATGGACTTAATTTTTCTTTACAGGTCCTGTTCGTCTTCATCAACACTGACGTCGAGGATAACGCCCGCATCATGGAGTTCTTCGGACTGAAGAAGGACGAGCTCCCCGCCATCCGCATCATCTCGCTCGAGGAGGACATGACCAAGTTCAAGCCCGACTTCGAAGAGATCAACACCGAGAACATTGCCAAGTTCACCCAGACCTACATCGACGGAGGACTCAAGGCCCATCTGATGTCCGAGGAGATCCCAGAGGACTGGAACGCCAACCCGGTCAAGGTACTGAAAAATTCGTTTTTCCTAAGCTTTTCTTTTAGGTCCTCGTCGGCAAGAACTTCGAGCAGGTCGCCCGCGACAACACCAAGAACGTCCTCGTCGAGTTCTACGCCCCGTGGTGCGGACACTGCAAGCAGCTCGTGCCCACCTGGGACAAGCTCGGAGAGAAGTACGCCAACCACGACAACATCGTCATTGCCAAGATGGACGCCACCCTCAATGAGGTGAGGAATTTTTCTTGTTCTAAAAGATCAAAAAGCCCGGCCTGGATGCAAAACGGATCCATACTTACTATACGAATCCAATTTTGGCGGCTTTTATCAAGCCTGTTTGAATTTTGATTTGCCCCAAAAAAGGAAACAGGGCAATGCAATCGTCCAGCGCCTTCTTGAATTTTAAACACCCGCGTTGGCCTTCCAAAAATATATTGCCTGATAAACAAAACTTCTTTTTCCAGGTCGAGGACGTCAAGGTCCAGTCCTTCCCGACCATCAAGTTCTTCCCCGCCGGCTCCAACAAGGTCATCGACTACACCGGAGACCGAACCCTCGACGGATTCTCGAGCTTCCTCGAGTCGGGCGGCAAGTCCGGCGCCGGAGATGCTGAGGAGGAGGCAGAGGTCGAGGAGGGACACGAGGAGCTGTAAATCCGCGCTCATCCGACCACATCCAAGCCCAGCTATCCAATCTAATATTTTTTGATAGCCCTTTCTGTGATTCATCATTCGAGGTGCGCTATCCCCCTCTTTTGACTATCCTTGTTATTTGTGGGGTGTTGTTTTCGGCTTTCTCTCCCGTCCCTCCCCCTTCCCCCGTTTCTCTTTGGTTCTCGCCCCCCAAATCCGCCCCCTCACGGGTCTTCTAGCTGTGTGTATTCCCTCTCCTAAAACGAGATGTAATTTTCCTCCAATTTGGGTAGCAATATACGTTTCTTGTGAAATTGTTGAACGCCCTGAATTCGCACCAACTCCTGCAGATTTCCAGTTGCCTTGGCGAGGAATCGCGCGGTTCTCATGATTTTCAGAAATAAATAATTTATTATCGTAAGACGAGTTGTCAAAGATCGCGAATGAATGGGCCAATGGGGATGAGCTTCCGAATTTTAGACAAATTTATAGGCATGAGAAATCACGGAGGATACGTTAACAGAAATTTGTAAAACCGCAACAAATGAATTAAGTGATTGGATTTGTCAAGGCTTTTCCTGGCCCGCTCCCTCTAATAAATCGAGTAAGTATTTTTAAGAATTTTGGGATGCGTAGGCACAAAAGAGGTCATGTCGTAGATGAAATATCGAGATTGGGGTAATTGCCCTGGGTCAACTACGATACTATGGCAGTAGGAGCTGGACAAGTGTAGAAAACATAATGGTTCGATGTTTTGGCTTGTGGGATCGTTTTGAAAGATTAATGGGGACTAGGCGTGGATGAACAAGGTAAAATTAGACGGCGTGCTCTTGTCGTTGCTGCGTGGTCGTTACTGTCGTGGTCGTCTGGCGATAGGGCTCCTGAAGTTTTGGGTTTTCTTTGTAGTTTTTTAGACCTAAAGTTTATTAAGAATGGGTAAGACTTTACTTTACATCCTTCCCGATCGTATGCTCGAAAATTTTTTAAAGACTAGCAAAAAAACGCGCGGCGTCTTACGTAAAAATAGCTTATTCTATAAGCTGCTACTCACATCATTTGGATCTTGCAACAGCGGTCTCCGCGCTGGTGTTGCCCACTCATCAGCAGTTCGTGCGTTTGACCCGTTGCTGTATTGCTGGGATGCTGGCTGTGACGGCGGCTTGTAGACGGCCGGTGCGTTGTCGTAGTCCTCGTTCTCGCGATTTCGCAGACTAAAAATACAGGTTGCTAGTTTTAGCATGAGCTCAAACTAAGGTGAGAAATGATATCTCGACTTCTGCCCCAAAAACCCACATAATGTAAGCAATGATGAGGCAAAGGATGAGCAGCAGCGCCAACCCGAGCAGCACGCCAAGTACGATGGTCCACGTGCGGAAGGCGTGCGAGACGAGGCCCTACAATAGTTTTGTTATTTTGTATAAGTATTAATTGTATTATGCAATTATTTTCATTTTTTTTTCTAATAGATTTTTTGACCCACCGATACCACTGGCGTTCCATTATTATTCGTGCACAGTCCGCTGGTGGCGTTGTACGCATTGTTCAAGCAGTCCACGCAATTAAGGACCTGAATATATTATGTTTATCGGCTTTTTTAGATAGCAAGATGTTGTTTTTCGAAAACGTTGGTTATTCCGTAAGTTTCTAGCTTCAAAAAGCGTACCTGGGTTCGCGCAGAGTTGTACTGACAGCTCTGGATGGTGCCGTCGATTTGGGATCTGAAAAATGAGGTTATATTCAGTTTCGTTCGGCTTCTGCCTGATGCTAATAATTTGTCGCAGTAGTTTACAATGCTCTAGTTCAAAACTTACGAGCAAATAACTTGGTTGTTGTTGTTATTATTCGATTGGCCGAGCGTTCCGCACTGCAGATCGCAATTTTTGCCGAAATGGTTGACCATGCACTGGATCGAGAGGTCGAGGTTGAGACTAAATATTTCATTTATAACTAGCAGATTTTAAAAAGGATTTAGGACAATTATAAAAACGTCAAAATATATAAAACCTAGATAAAATAATAAGATAGCTTACGCCGATCCCTGTTGTAGCTGGCTAGTGATTTGGGTGGTGAGGCGGCCGTTTCCGCTTGACGGATCTACCTAAATTTGGTTATTTTTGTAGCAATTTTTGAAGTATAGGATATGCCGCTAATTTTTCGAAAGTAAGCTGCTACTCACATGCAGCAGTGGAATAGCGAAGGCGTCGACCAAAGTCAAACGGTTGTTGAAATACAGGAGCTGGGCGGAGGAGCGCCGGATAACGGCTCCAAGGTGTTGGACAAAGACGTCGATGGCAGACTGAAATTCGATTTTTGATAAACAGAAGTGTATCATTAATAGATCTAGGCGTTAAGGGTATAATTTATGATTTACCGGTTTCGTTGGGACCTGAAGAGTAATCTGCTGGGTCCAGTTACCCTGGCTGATCGTCTGCGAGAACGGGTAGAAGTCGCTTTGGATCATCTTGACGGTTTGGCTGAAATTTTGGGGTTGAGAAGAATGTATTTTGCCTTATTAGACAGATTTTATTGTTTTATTCAATTCCAGTTATGAGAGATTTCGACCATTTCCAAAGCGAACTCTGAACCTGATCGATTCTATTTGTACCACAGTTTCGTGAGATTTTCAATATTTTTTTACATTTTTAGCAAGCTAGAATTTTGTGCTGTAGTATAGACACCAATCATTTTTTTTATCATTGGACGTTGTTTTTATAAGCAGATTTTGTGTTCGCTTTAGTTCGAACCTGAATTCAATACTTTTTCTCTAGCAGTTTTTACGCCATTTTTGGATTGTAATATACAATTTCTATACGTTTTATTTATACAAGTCAGCTCCATTTTAATGGACCATTTACGAGGCTTGTCTGACGGCTAGTCAATTCAGTTTCCGCTTTTCCCACAGTTCCGATCATCCACTGGCACTCGAAAATCGCATTCTTCAAGTGCTGTTCTCGATTCTTTCCCGATATTACTTTACCAGGCCATCCCCTGCCCGGGATGCCGATACTATTTGTGGTGTGGGAACGTCCGTTCGTCGGCCGTCCGGGCGGCCCGGGCGAAGATTTGGCAATTTGCATGCTCGGGCGGGGGAAGAGCCGAGCGGAGGGACACGTCAAGGCACCGTCACACACAGGCACACACACGCCTAAATGCCCTCGGGGCACAGAGCGGGCCGATGCTTGGCAAATAGCAACGGTCCGGCGCGTTGTATAAGGTCGTGATATTAGTGGGTGGAGGGTTGGGATGGTAAAATTGAGCTAGGATGGAGCTCTAGGTGTCAGGATCTTGCGCACATTCTAGGAGTTGAGCGTATCCACCTATGAACATCGCTGTCTCTCTTACTCATTGCCTGGGTATCTATGCGTAAATAGGTGTATACGTGGTAAGTCTGAACCTGATCGAAAGGAACCACATGGGTTCGAACTCGTGGTTTACGCCAGTGAAAAAAGACAGAGAGCGAGAGAGAGAGAGAGAGAGAGAGAGAGAGAGAGAGAGAGAGAGAGAGAGGGCGAGCGATAGAGCGAGAGAAAGAGCGTTTGCGGGAAAGATGGGAATGATTTAGGAGAAGAAATTTTTTTGTCGTTGTTACAACTTTTCGACAACTGCAACAGACTCTCTTCATTTTCTGCGACTTCCAAGTATTTTCCCCATTTCCTTTCCAACTTCAGCCTTCATGTTGCCTCCAACCCCCCGAATATGGCCGCCCGGAGCAGACTATGCAAACAACGATGCGCAGTCTCAAAATTCGATCGCAGTACTGGGGCTTCATCTTGCTAGAGATAAGATAGGCACCGGACAGCGGAACGACGGTAGGGAATGAAGCCCCCCCCCTCTGCGTGACTCGCCGTTTTGGACAGTGCCCAAAATTTGAAATTTTGAAGCGAGTGGGCAGGCGAGATAAGGTTGCTTTTCAGGCCATGATTCAGACGGGTGTTTCGCTAGAAAACCGCAAAAAATGAAAATGAGTCATCTTGAAAATCCAAAAAATCGATTCAGCCGAGTTTTTGGAGTTTTTCGAAGCTGAGCGCCTTGCAAAATCCTTGAATTTTCCTTCTTTCGACTTCAGAATCGATCAAAACATCTGATGTCCAGATTCGCTCCAATCAGTGCAATCCCAATGGGTCGTAAAACACGTTGCCCGGGCTGTTGAGGGGAAAAACAGGAGCCCTGATTTTAGGTGGCGGGGTCTGGGCTTTGAAGAGCTTTGGAGACTATGAGGTTTCAACTAGAATTCTAAGGCCTCTGGAAACTTGGCAAAGTGCCAATTTTGTTAAAAAACCTACGCAATTCAGTTCAAATTAAGTAAGGTTTGTTCGAGTTTTTGAAGCCACTTGCAAGCTTTCTAAACATTTGGCAAAATGCCAATTTGTCTAAAGGATAGTCGCGGATTCGAAAAACCACGTGAATAGGCTTCTAACTTAAAGAATTATCGATTGACTCTCGCGAAATATAGATTTTGTTTGTACATTAAAAATTGGCTTGAATATTGAAGCTTAAAAAGCGGTTTCTCCTTTTTTTTCCGCGAGCCTTTAATTCCAAAATTCAACTCACTCAGCCGACGAGATGACGACCATAAACGAAAACTGGCAGTTGTTCTGCTCATTCGCACGCAAAAAGTCGCAGTTGGCCACCGGGCAAGCACAGGTTGTGTCGGCGTCCAGCGAGTTCTGCGGGTTCGAGTAGGACCTCAGCTGCAGCGTCACGGTGGCGCCCATGTCGGTGGCGTTCGTCTGAATACAGGTTTTTGAAGTAGGCCTGGTTCATTCGCATCTTAGATAATTTTGATGAAGGTTATTGTGTTAATACCATTAATTATTACCATCCTGATCGGGTTCGTGCTCACTGCCGACCGCGAGTTCTGCGTGTTCATCTGGCCGTTGTTGAACTGTTGGTTTTGCTGTTGTTGTTGTCCGAATTGTTGCTGATTGGTGTTCTGCTGGCCGAATTGGTTTTGCTGTTGGAAGTTCTGGCCTTGCATGCTAAAATTTAAACGATTAATGGAGTCCAGAACTATCAATATTTGTCGAAAAAAGATTCAAGTTTTACCAACTTTCTACCATCTAAAACGCAGGTGTAATTGAATGCATCAGCTAAATACACAACTTTTCAATTTTTGAACTCACCGCAATTGTTGTTGATTCTGTTGCTGCTGGTTTTGCTGTTGCGGCATTTGGCCACGATTCTGGAATTGGTTCTGCTGATTCTGATTCTGATTCTGGCCGGGGTAGCCGTACTGCGATTGACCGGGCTGCTGCTGGTAGGGACTTCTGGAAAATGGGGGATTTTTAGCGGTATTGCAATCCGATTTTGGCATCGTAAATGAAGCTCACTTACCTGTTGTTGCTATATTGAGCATGAGCGGCTAGCATTACCACTGCCAGCGGCAGGAATAACCTCAGCACCATCTTGCTCCTGATTTCGTTCCGTAGAGTTCTGGCCGGAGCAGAGTAAAATCTGGAAAATTGATGTTTAAGAAAGAGTAGTTTTGCAAAAAAAACAGCATTTAAAACGTTAGCGAAACATTCAACTTATTGTTAGCCAAGAATGGAACAATACTCCAAAGAAAAACAGTTTTCACGATAACAACTTTTTCGACAAGTTCGACAAGATGTTTGCCACAGCATAGACCAAATCGAAAAGTTGTATAAATTTTTCATGGCCCTAAATCGTACAGAAGTCATGTTAGCACAAGGAAACGGCCCTGCTAGCAAGAACTCTCTCTAGAATCCATAAACGGCATCGATTCCGGTGCGGGCCGCTGGGAAAAAGCATCCGCTAGGGTGGGCCAGGTCCGGGCCATGCGCTACAAATACGGACCGCCATTTGGGCGGTTGATGAATATTCAGGGGAGAAGAAGGTTGAAAAAAGGAGATTCGAAAAGTAGTTAATTTTTAAAGTTAAAAAAATAGTTATTTTAAATCTCTTTTTTTCGACTTTCTATCCGAGGGCGTTTTCGAAACCATACAATTTTGTATACGTTCTAGGAGTTAATCAAGATAATTCTAAGATGCAATTTCGAAGATAAATCCAAGATTACACACAATTTCAAGATTGAGGCAGAAAGAAGACAATCTTTACGGTAGCTAAGTGGTAGACTGCATAAGAAGATATCGCTTCTCGACTCAAAAAGACGAGACAGGCGTGCCACCCAACCAAGATCATCTACACTCCGCTTTCAGTAAAGTACGTTACTCACACTCCTGGTTAGTCGTGATTAAACTATCCCTTTAAAATAGTCCCCTAGCTTTGGAAAAGTATCGGGAATTACCGTAATGCGGGGCTTTGCCTTCAATGTCCTTTTAAAAAACGGTATGGATTTTAGTCAAAAGCGATGATGCCAAAAACGTAGGCCCAAAAACCAAGCCTACAGTCACAGCCCACGCTGAATATTCAGATGAATAGCGGAGATCGATTTGGCCGTTGGAGCCAGGGGGTGACTCAAAAGCTGGGGGACGACTACAACAGGGGGTGTGTTTGGGCCGGGGCGAGCTTGGCATCTTCGGGCTTGGCCTTATCTTTAGAAGGCAACGGTTGGTGAGAGAGAGAGAGAGAGAGAGCGAGAGGGAGACGACTGCAGAATAATGACTCATGCTGCCCACCCCCGAGGAGATTACCACAAACCCCGCAGCCTTTGCGGGGAGGAGCCGATCGCTTGAAGGTAAATATTGGGAGGTGGAGGTGAGGATTGGAAAGTTAGGAATCAAGGTGGGATGAGCCGTTGATCGGGGAAATCGATCTGGATATATTGGCTATAGACGCTTGAATTTGGCAAATTAAGCACTATCCAGATAAATTTGCATCGAGCGGGTTTTTTTAATAAATACTTTCTCTTATCCAATCAGTCGAAATCGTGAGCCTAGTTTTCGGATCCTACAGGCCCTTAAGAAAAAATTGATCGTTATATTGTATAAAAACCGTATTTTCGGAGACGAAAATCGCGGCCATTTCACGACGAGAACCGCAGCTAGAACATCTGACAACCCAAGAATTTTGGAAATTTCAGCACGGCTTTTTTGGAAAGAATCCATGATGGAAAATTTGCAGCATTTTAACCGGACGTTCGACTTCTTTTCAAGGCAAAATGGACAAGTCGAGGTCTTAAAAAATAAAATAGGAGTACTACGCGATCCGCTAAAACGATAAGGATTTGCTCAACGAAAGGCAAAACCAGGGATTCAAAAATAAAAGTAAGCAGGTAGGCAAAATCCGAGATATCCATAGCAATAATAACTCAACGCGGATCGATTACCCAATACCCAACCCGCGCCGGCCGTTCCGTTTTCAAAAATGTCAAGAGGTGTTGGACAGTCTGGGTGTGGGTCAGAGGGCGAGAGGTGGAGAGAGAGAGATGGTGATTGTTGCCAAGTGGAGGCCAAAGAGGTTGTTATTTGTATGTATGCGTACCCAATGGAATGGGCAACCACCCTCTATTCAAGGCGTTGACACCACCATGAGCAAACATTAGGCTCAGATTCGGGGCATGATCTAAGCCCCGGGCCGCTCGGCGTCGATTATGGTCATGGCATCGGGGGAGTGAGGTTTCCGAAAAAGCGTTTCTGGGAATGGGGACAGAGCTTGGCGGAATATAGGGAAAGAGGTTGACAATCTTGCTGTTTTGACGTGCAAAACGTGGCTTTTTCAGTTTTTTTTAAGCAAGCACCATCATAAGATGAATTTTAGGACACCATAGTTGTACGGAAATGAGGTTTTTAAGGCCCATAGTCTGCTGTGGGTCTAACCTAGTTTTTTTGAAGATAAAAAGTTTTGAAAAGAGTGAATGCGATTTTAATCGCAATTTTTAGATCCTTAGAACCCCGAGGTCATTCGGGTCGTAAAGAGCAGAAGCGGAAAAACCCGCGCGTGGTGTTTGACTGTTTATTTGCGCTGCCCTGGAAATCGGTGGGCCAGGGCCCGTGTTTTGCTTGTATGTGTGGATCGAGTAAGGAAAGCACCGGAAGCCAAAAAAGGCCAGTTTGATCGTGATTTTGAACATGACAACCAGCTTTGATCTGGAAAACATGGCACGCGCAAGTTATTAAACAAGTTCTTAAAGTTTGTAAAATTAGCAAAAGCCTTATCAAAAACCGTAGTGAACCGCGAAATCAGTACAAACCACGCCAAATTACGCACATTTCCGGGACGGCACCACCGGGGCGAACCTATGGACACTCATCCCGGGGCCGCCACGGCGGAATCACGGACGGCTTGCCGACGCGCTGAGTCAGCCGGTGTACGGATTGGCAAGAATTGGGCGAGCTGTGCAACAGGCAGGCTTGGTTTGGAAGCTATTTTCTTGGAGCATAGGAGTTTTACAGCGAAAATGGGTAAATGCAAACGCTCTTTGCTAGCTTCCCGGTGAAGGGGCCTCAAGAAAAAAATATTGAAGTTAATTTAGGTATTGACAAGCTGATGCGAGTAGAAATATTGATTGTTTGTGAGTCCCAGAAAGATCCAACCACTCCCGTATCACCTATAGGAAGCACCAGCGCATTGATAAGCCCTTGTTTGGGGAAAGGGCTTCAACTTGGAAGCTGGTTCTGAGGAGGGCTTGGATCTGAATTTGTAGTGCAAATTAATGTAGAAACAGAGTGAGATAGCCATAAAGACAGTAAGACACAGAGAAAGAGAGAGAGAGAGAGAGAGAGAGAGCGAGAGAGGAGGAGAAAAACTCTTTCCAAACCACTGCAATGTACAATTTTTCAGCCGGACCATTTGCCGGTGGACCCGCTTGGAACGCCTTGTATGTGGTTGTGTGCCCTGGGGCTACAGGGCTAATCTGTGTTTGTCTTTCTATTTGGCGCGCCCGCCTCGGCTTCGAGCCTTCCCCAACCTCCAAGACACCCACCATAAACGGCAGTTAGGGTGTTATAAGCTGAAAGGAGGATTTATTTAACTTGGCAAACTTTCGGAAGTTTTGGGCAAATCATCCGGGTTTGCTACGGAAGGCTGATGTGCAAAAACTGGGACCGTATTACCTGAGGAACCAATCTGCTGTTCTCTGCTCTCTCTCTCGCTCTGTCTCTCTCTCACTCTCTGACGCTCTCTCTCTCTCTCTCTCACTCTCTGACGCTCTCTCTCTCTCTCTCTCTCTCTCTCGCTCTCTCTCTCTCTTTCTCTTTCTTTCTCTCTAGTTTTTCGCCTTCCTGCTTTGTTCAGATGCCAGATCAGAAAAATCCGTTTATTCCGTTCAAAGGTGTGATGTGGCTTCGTAGGAGTTGGTAGGGTTATGGTGGTCCGACGCCCCATTGTAGCCGTTCTCGAAGGAGTCTTGCTAAAAAAATTTGCTAACTTTTTTGCAGAGCAAAAAAATACCGGCTGAAACATGTCCACTCGCAATTCACTGGTCGTAAACGCCTTCACCTCGTCGTCCGCGACCGAGTAGTTGACCCTGAAAAAAACATATCCGCGTTTTCGTACGGTATTTTCCACGCCTGTGCGCTAAACAAATTCAGGATTGTTAAATTTCAAAATCAGAAAATTGTTAAGCCGAAAAATGGCTTCATGCTCACTTTGGAGTCGCGCTCTCCCTTCGAAACGCAGCATTGTCTTCGCCAGCATTAGGAGTATAAGTTTTCTTGTTATTTTTCATGTAGTAGCGGCGCCTAAAAGAGTTTGTTAATCCTGGAAAAACAATTTCCTGCCTTCTTCTTTCCCTCTCTGCCTCTCTCTCTCTCTCTCTCTCTCTCGCTCTCTCTCTCGCTCTCTCTTTCTCTCATTGCAAAACTCAGCCTACCACAAAACAGCAGCCACGGCCGCTAGAGCAATGATTAAGAGCAACACCCCGAAGACGATCCAACCCCAGGCTGTTCCCTAAAATTTTTTTAATGGTAAATTCAAAATGTAACTAGTTGTGATTACTTGGTGGATATCTGGTGCGGCGGTAGGCTCACCAGTTGTGATGGTGGTTGTCACGATGGTAGTCACCGGAAAAATATCCGTATTGCTTCGGATTCTGCCATCCTTCTCTCTCTCTCTCTCTCTCTCTCTCTCTCCTTGTCTCTCTATCGCTCTCTGTCTCTCTGCCTCCGTCTTGCCCTTTAACCCCTATTGCCCACCACAGTGGCTGGAGTCGGTGAAAATGTCGTGGTCGTAGAACTCAGAGGATCATCAGTTACTGTCTAAATGTTAGCGCTTCTATGCAAATAGGGCGTTTCGTACCGTTGTAGTCGTCGTCGTTGTAGATGGCGTGATACCGGGAGTGGTTGCCATCTCTGAAGTTCGGTGAATGTCAGGTTGACTAATAAAGTCTAGGTATTAAGGTATAAATAAGGTAATAATTTTCGATCTCCCTTCAGGCGTGCAGATTTTGAAAGGTTTTGAAAGGATCTCGTCTCTGCCGCTCTACTTCGACGACGCCCCTAGGATCGCAAAATCGACGGACGCCTAGATGCAGGTTCAACAAGTTTGGCAAAACTTCGAAGTTTGCGAGCCGGTTTTCCCGGCACGGAGCCACTGGCCTACGATTTAACCTTAATGATGTTGTGTTGACTTCAACACGGTTTTTCGCGAAACTTCTCGAGCTCCATCTCGGTTTTCATTAAATTTCGAAAATTAGGTAGCTCTTGCCAAGTTAGCAACGATGCAAAAATTTGGTCAAACGTTTAGCTTACCTGATATGGCAATAGATAGATTGTCGGTAGCAAAATGACAGGGAGACAACGGTGCCACCCGCGAAAAATTGGAGCCCTCGACTTCTGGTGGTTGCCATGTTAGTCATCTGCCCTGCCGAAGACACAACATTGCCCCCATGCCCTCGCTTTCTCCCCTTGAATAACGAAGTTTTCGACAGTTTCCAGCCCGGTCGAGTAATGCAAAATATTGACTAGCTTCTCTTGTTATCGGCCAGTCGTCAGGTGGTGTGAATCGGAGGGACCTTTTTATTTTTAGGGCAGCGAAACGGCGCGAAATCGACCGGGCTCATCATTTACCATGGGTATCGACGAGGTGAGAGAGAGAGAACGAGAGCGTCAGAGAGAGATAGAGAGTAGGGCAAGAGATAAAGAGCGAAGTGTCAAAATATCCATCATCTCCATGCGCTGCGTCACTAACTTGTTCGACTGAAATAAGCGTCGCACATGCCACGCTTTCGAGAAAGTACAAACTACAACAAATTACGGTGCGATTCTCATCATTTGTCGTCTTGTCACGCGCCGGTCACCTTCCATTTTTGCGTTTCTTCACACACGCTTATTATTATTTTCCATCGCAATTAAGAAGTTTTCGCGTGAAAAACTCTTTATTCCATCGCATATCACATCGACTCGGGGGGCAGGGCGCGAAAACGGATCCAGAACTTTATTTTTGCCATTCGCAGGCTCACATTTCAACTCGGACAGGGAAGGGGGAGGGGGAAATGGCGAACACACGCAGATCAATCAGAACACAGCGATCACCAGTAACCGTCATAGTCGTAGGTGTATTCGTAGCAGTTGCAGTCGTAGCCGCAGTCGTAGCAGCCCGAGTACCCGTAGTCGTACCTGAAATATCCATTGACTCTAGAGCGTTCAGAAAGCGTAATTCGGTATAAAAATTGCACCTTAGAACAAAGTGGGTTTCCTCCACCCCCCCGATAATGCAAAAGAACCAGCAGGGACTAGGAAAACACGTTTAAAGGGACCAGGAAGCCTAAACCTACCCGTAGTCGTAGCACGGGCTGTAGCACAGGTCGACGATCGGCGGGGGCACGTAGTAGGGGACGGGGCACGGCGCGACGACTGGCTGTACGACGGGTTGTACGACCGGCGGGTAGACGGGCTGGATGACTGGCTGAAAAAGGGTTCTGTTAATTAAAATTTATTGGGACCGCTAACAGTCCAGTCACGAAATTTATAGCGTTTTATCCCCACTTGCTGCACCGGCACAACCTGCTGAACAGCTTGAACTTGCTGCACGGGTTGGGCGACAGGCTGGGGCCGATGGACGTATTGCTGTTGCTGTTGCTGCTGAACCGGCTGAACGGGGTCGGCCAGCTGCCCGGTCCGGGCTGATGCCGTATCGTCGGAGATGTTCACCGGGGCGTAGGCGCGTTCATCGGGCTGAATCCGATCGTCGGGTTGCTCCGAAAATCTAGTAGTATACCTCCTGAGCGGGTGGTAGAGCAGGGGGCCGTCTGGCGTATTTTTGGGCTGGCTTTTGCTTGCCGCCGGCTTTTCCTTGCTGCTTCTGTTTGTAGCCGCCCTTCTCGAGGTCGGCGCGGGCACGGTCGTTCCCTAAAATGGGCTATTTTTGGTTTCACAGGTTGTTTTCAACAGCAGATTCGCTGTAGGCGGCGAGAGAGAGAGAGTGAGCGAGAGTGTGAGAGAGCGAGAGAAAGAAAGACCTCGATCTCCTACCTATTCTGCTCCGACAACAGTAGCAGCAGCAACCGCACATCACGATGATGCACGCCAGCGCGGCGAAGGCCACTGTAAAATTTGAGCTTTGGCCTTTAATAAAACTAATCAATAAAACGATTAAAATAATGTGGAACTCAGGGAGCTACTGTAAAAAACCGACCTCCACCGTACAGTATCCAGGGCGTAGCCTCAGGTGTCGGCTCTTCCTCCACCACTACTGGGACGGTAGCCTTGGTGGTCGGGGGATCAGTCGAATTTGTCGAATTGTTGCCTGGAAAAGCTATTTTTTTTATTGATTACCTTCCTTTACTTAATTTTATCTAGTTCCCTCATAATTAATTTAATTTAAAACAAATATTCTCTACCACCTGGCAAAACCGCGTCCTGGATCTCCTTGTCTAAATTGGCAATTTTTAACTAATGAATCATCTACGTTAACCAACCAATGGTCTGATCAGTCCCCTGATCATCATCGTCTTCTTGTCCATGCTGAAATTTGCAAAAAAATCGTAATAAGGCGCAGAAATACCGTAATTGGCGCTGTAAAAATCAGGAGAGCGAGTAGAATAGACGGCCACATGGCCCGGCAAAAAGGCGAGAAAGTAATCAAGTCTCAAATCAAGGAATTCCATTAGATTATGCTAATTTGGTGGGTTTTGTTTGATCGTTGTTTGTCAACAAACGGCGACCGGCTACAACACGCTCCAACGCACACGAATTACCTCGCGTGTACTTCCCCGGGCTGGGAAATCTCTGAGAAAAGTTCAAATTTAGAGGATTTTTGCGCAAAAAAATAATAATTTGGTTTGAAAATGTTGATACTTTAATTTGCTACAGTTATCTTGACTGTTTCGATAAGCTTCTGTTTTCTATGAGCTTTTTTAATGCCTAAAACTTAATATTAATGTTTTCCTTTTAGTTTATGGCGCACAACACCTCCCTCGATGTGTCATTTATCGAATGGGCGCCCGATGAACTTCTTTCACAGCAGGTAGAGCTTGATAGACTTTTTGGAGTGGAAACCTGTCGGTTTTTTCGGTCGAAAATTAGTCTAAAAACCCTAAAACAAGTTCTAATAGCTTATTTTAGTGCAACATCAGCGAGGACAAGGCGAAGCGCGTGTGCAAGCTGTTCGATGAAGGATACGAGGTTTTCAAAGGCTTCTTAAAAGCTTTATATGATTTTAGGTGGCCTTTGTCGCGCGGTACAGGGTCGCGCAAACGGGCAACATGACCACAGATGAAGTTCGGCGAGCCCATGAAAGTTACAAGGATATAAAGTAAGTTATGAGCTATGTTTTCAACGCCTTTTAGAGTGCTCGAACAGAAGATCGTAAAAGCGGCAAATACGCTATCTCAAAAGGTGGAGGGGCCCGAGTTGGTCGATGCGTTGAAAGGATTACAGCAGGTGGGGTAGAAAAGTTGCATTTTTTGTTTTACGTAACTTTAAAATAGAATTATGACCGTTTTTATCTACTTTTTTTCAGGCTCGCGACAATGAGGACATTTTGGTGATTACCCAACAATTTGCGGCCGAGAAACGGGTGACAAAAGCAGCAAAAGCAAGGTAAATAAAGTTTAATAGCTAAAATACCTTTTTTATCAGGGAGCTCGGACTCGCCGAAGCAGCACAAGCCATTTTTCAAGGAAAAGCCGTTCGGGTGCGCGAATTGATCAATGGAGCCGGTATTTTTAACCAAAAATTGTCAATTTTTGTTAGAATTAAGCGATCTGAAAACGGTTGAAACATACCTGAAGCATCTACTCGCCGATCTCATCAACAAACACCCGGAAACGCGTGAGTTTTTGAGGTTCTGCTAACGATAAAACATTTTTAGTCGCCATGGTTCGAAAAATCGGGCAATTGGACACGCGGCTTTTCGTCAGTGTCGTTGGCGAGCTATCGGCAAAGGCGAAAAAGCTGAAACCAGGCGATCCTAATCATGATCAAGTAAAATTTTCCAGTTCTGAATTTCTAGCTTTTTTTTTAGATAAAACACTTTGAGCGGTATATAAATTTCACGAGGAACGCGCACCAGGTCGAGAATTGTCAGGTTCGTTTTTATGTAGATAAATACTAAAAATTATTGAAAAGAAAGAAGAAACGGTTCCCCTTGTTAATTCATTAATTAATTCTAAAAATAGAGCTTTCAAAAGGAAAATAAAAGAATTTTTACCTTTTTTTTGCAGATTCTGGCCCTGGAACGCGGCGCTGAGCGTGAGATAGTCAGCTGGAAAGTGCAAATCAAAGATGCTGAACGAGAGCATCCGTTGAAAAGACACCCGGTTCATCCTAGCCATCTACAATTCTATCAGGTATATAAACTTATCTTTCGGCGTTCTAAAGTTTTTCTGAATTGGACTAAATTTTCACTTTTTGCATGTGAAAAGCGATTTTTGCAGACGTCATTCGCTCATGCCCTCGACCAATCGTTCGTCCCGAAATGCCAGCGTGCCATTGCTAGGTACGGAAACTTGTTGTCGTTTGGAAAGTTATTGAAGTTACTAAAACAATTTTTCAAGCCTGTTTTAGATTCCTCACCTCAAGAGCCGAACAAGCAGCCATCGAATGCTTTGCCCGAAATCTTCGGCAGCTCTTCTCACAGCAACCACTCTCCGATTTGCATATTATTGGTTGGGCTTCCATCCAAAAAAAATAAAATCTTTGTTTTTAGCCCTAGACCCCGGTTACAAGACGTGCAAGATGGCGTTTTTGAGCCCGTTGGGTGAGGTGGGGCTTAATTTTCAATTTTTTATTTCGTATCTCTTTTCTAACTGAAAATTTCGATTTAAATTGCGTCTTTATAAAATGTATAAACTAGTGGCGGTAGTGCTAGATAATTATTTTTAGGTTCTCGGCCACCTAGAGTCGCGCTTTGGCGGCCAGCGTTTTTTCCCGGAGGGTCTTGCCCATTTGAAGAATTGGTGTAAAGAGGCTGGGTCTCGTAAGTGATTTTCTTATATTTAATTTAATTAGTTTTTTTTTATAAAAAGAGCGTTATAAATAACTAAAAATGTTATTGTTTTCAGGCTGTATCTTTGCGGTGGGCGATGGCACGGCTTCAAGAGAGACGCAAGTCGAACTCGGCCGGCTTTTCAATGAGAAGGCGTTCGGGCCAGGCGATTGGAAGTTTTGGTAATTCGTTATTTTTATTTACTACTTCCTTTATGACTTTATCACTTATTTCTTAAATTTGGTTGAATAGTTACGCTTATTTTTTATTATTTAGCGTCGTCTCAGAAAGCGGCGCCTCGAAATATAGCGTAACTCCACTGGCTGAAGCCGAATTTCCGGATCTGCCGCCGACGACGAGGAGTGCTAGTAAGTATCATTTTTTCTAAATTTATTTTGTTTAGTCTCGCTTGGTCGCCGACTTTTGGACCCGATGGGCGAGTATGTGAAAATCGAACCGCAACATCTTGGGATGGGAATGTATCAGGTACTTTAGTTTTCTGTTTTTTTAGAAGCTGACTGGCTTCTCTAATATTACAAAAAGTTTCAACTTTTTGAGACGTATAAAATTTGTTTTTGGTTCAAGTAGTGTGTAGTATTGCGTAAATTCCCCTTTTTCAGCACTCAGTTCCGGAGAAGAAACTTTCAACAAAACTGACGGAAACGGTGCGTGAAGCCGTGTCGATGCGCGGGGTTAACGTCAATACAGCCTCCCTACAACTTTTACAGTAGGTATTTTTAACTAATTAAATTCAAGCGTAAATTCAACATATTTAGTTTTTTAAGCTATTTGATTTAATCTATTTTTCTAATTTAATATCAGCATTTAGACAAGTCTGCGGGCTGAACAAGACGACAGCCGCTGGGATCATAAAAATGCGTGAAATTGCGCCGATCAAGCGCCGAGCGGATTTGCAGAAAATCAAGGGGCTAGGAGCCAAATCGTATGAACAGGTATGGATGTTTGGGAATTAATTTATGCAGATTTTTACCTCGAAACTGATGTTTAATGTCTTTTATTATTTTTTTATAGTTGTAAAATCATGGTTTAGTAATTTTGTGTTCATGAAATCAGTTAAAAATAAAATGAAGAGATTACAACATTTTTTAGTGCGCCGGTTTCCTAATCGTTCTGCCGCCCGATCAAGCCGAAGCCGGGGAGCCGGCGAAAAAGCGCAAGAAAGTTGAGGCTACCTACGAGCCGTTAGACGCCACCATTGTGCACCCCACTCAATATGAAGAGGCCAAACGGTATTATAAAGCTTGATTTTTGCGTAGAAACCCGTTTTTCAGAATCCTTGATAAAGCAGGGGTTGAACTTGAGCAGCGACATCAACAGGAAGCTGTCAAGAAATTGACTAAGGTATAAAAATTTTTACATTATTTTATGGAACTTTTTGTAAAAAAAGTCCTAAAATTTCAATTTTTTACAGCCGATTTTTAATTTTTAATTTTATTTATAATTTACAATCTAATATGAGAAACAATTTAAAGAGTTTTATGATTTTTTAGCTAAATCTCACCCCAGATGAATCTGTCGTTCGGGACCTACTATTGGCCGAGGAAAAGCTCGTCCCAGCCCCGTTACTTCAGGTACGAATCGTTTTTGTAAAGTATCGTATTTTTAGACCCAAATCCGGAACATTGGCTCGTTGAAAGTGGGCGAACGGCTGAGCGGACGGGTTCAAAATACGGTGAAATAGATTTTTTTCCAAAAAAATCGGGTTTTAGACCGATTTCGGCGTGTTTGTCGACATTGGCGCCGAGAAGAGCGGGCTTCTCCATCGATCCAAGGCCGGGCAACAGGTTTTCGAGGTATAAAAAAATTTGATTAGTTTTGAAAACGATTATTTGTAGGTTGGTCAAGTCGTCAACGTGTGCATCGACCAGACGGACGCGGCGCGGCAGCGGATCGGGTTGAGATTGGCTTAATCTTACCTTGATTTTCTAGCCTCTATTGATTTTTTAAACTTAAGCTAATATTTTTTGTAAATACCGTAGTTGTTTCTGCCTTTTGAGCAGATTTTCAGTCATTTTCCGTTTTGTTCCGTTTTTCTACTGATTTGTGAAGCCGGCCACTGATTTTTGAACGTTTTGTAATATTCTCGAGTAGATTTTCACCGAGTTTCCGCTTGTTTCTGTTTTTCTGAGCCCCATGTAATTTGTACTGTGATCTTTTCCGATTTATACTCGTGATGAAGCCGGGTTTTAGATGTGCAAAAAGTTTTTCTGCTGATTTTACGCTTGTTTCTATTAGATTTGTCGTCAATTCAATTTTTTATTTTTTATCTGTTTTTTTCTAAAGGTATCTCTGTTTATCTGCGTTGCTTATTATTTCATGATTTATTCCGAAAACTTCGGCTCCGGGAACGGCAGCCGGAATATGATGTAGTCGTAGAAAAACTGGCGTACGAATGGCCCATAGAGTTCACGCCGTTCGAGGATTTGACGGCGCCACCGGTTTAGCTAGAATGGAATTTTTGGAATTTTAGAAACGGAAAAATGAAAAAAACTAGAAACTAAATTAATTATTTAAAAACTATCAAATCTAGAAAGTTGTGAGTAATTTTTATAACTGAAAACCTAATAACTCCTCCAAAAGCTGAGTTTCCTTACCTGTCCGTAGTGAAAATCCTGGTCAGCCAGTTTCAAGGCATAGTCAGATAGTAAATGCGAGAGCTTCTGCTCGGAGAAGCCGTTTTCTGAAAAAGTGAGGTTTGTAAAGTAGCTATAGAAATTCGCTATATAAAACTTGAGGGTCCCTACGTAATAACACATCTTTGATAGCCAGCATGTGAGACCATTTATCGTGTTGGTTATAGAGGAAAACTCTGTACTCGTCTTGATACGCCCGGAAGTGGCAGTGCCTAAAAATGGGGGTCTAAAGGGATAATGCCATCAAATTTTCCAGTGAAAACTAGAGAGATTGCGTAAGCTCTGCCTTCTCATAAGTATTAATTTTTAATATTAATTTTTTTGGGGGGATGGAGAAGTGTCCTGCGGATGGTAAAAGGCGCATTAATGTTGGCACGAAACGTATAAAGCCCGAGCAAACTCTAGGAGCTAACGGAAGCGTAATTTTGAAGCATCGAGTTTGCGTTGCCGTTTCTGATCTTTTTTTGTTGAGTTCTATGAACTTCCGGCTGGCGCTTTTATAAGCGTATTGACCATACTTCATAGCAGGCCAGCAGAAAAACTTTGGGAAGTGGTAGATTGCCAGAAGAGGGCAGGCTAGCAGTGATCATTTAGGAAATCGCCTTCTAAAATCACCTACCAATTCTGAGGCACGAAATACTGTGCCGGCGGCCGAACGGCAATTCTTTCTTTTGCATGAAGCAAATCAAAAACGTGCTGCTTCCCCAGAAAACACTCCAAATTCCCGTCGCATTCGTAGCACCGACCATTGACTGTGTTGAGCCTCAAAATGCCAAAATTTTAACTGCCAAATCCATTTTTCTAATATTTTACGTACTTACTGAATACATCTCATACTTTACTATGAGTACAGTAAGAATCATCCAAAATTACTTACTCACACTCCTGATAAAACTCGTAGATAAATCGCTCCAATGGGTCCTCGATTAGCGCCAGGCTGCTCCAATATTCCGAATTTTCAGGCATTTCTGTGGCGTTGTGACATTCGCTAAAAGTTGCTACTTTTTCTAACTTTAAAAATATGTCATAAAAAATAATTCCAGTTTATATAAATCGGATTAATATTTACCTTTTGATATTGACACCCGCCAAAGCTGTATAATTGTTTTTAAAGTACGACTCGTCGTCGAGGTGGCACATAAAATCTGTAAAAAAGAATAAAAAATCTGCTATTTGAAAAGAATAATGTAACTTAGTTAAAAATTAAATAAATGAAACTAACTAAATTAGAGTAATTTAACATAAAAATTACCTTTTACCAGCTCGAGCTTCCGATTCGGGACGTCACAAAAATTGATCGAGTGGCCTGGAGATTGCTACGAATCAGTATATTATTTTGCTAGCATTGTAATAAGCTTGGAAATGTACAAAATTACAAGTATTGCATTATAATTCATTTTATAACAAAAATAAAAGTTAATAAATACCAAAAATTCCGCCGGGAAATCGATAAACGGGCTGACGATGTCGCAAACTTTTTCGCCGGTAGGACAGAGGCGGTTGTACCACTCCATGGCTATTGCAATCTTTAAAAAAGCTTAAAATTACGCATTATAAATGTATGTAAAAAGGTAGTACGGTACTTTAAATTCAAATAATAATTGCTTAGAAAATTACCTGTTGATGGTCCAACTCCAGGCATCCTCCCGCCACCAATTTTTGGGGGTGATTGGTGGTGGCGCAGCTTTTATGAGCATTTCTAAACAATGTTATTTTTCGTTTTCTAGGTACTGTAGCTTTATCTAAACACTGGTTTAATTTAATAGCAAATACAAAATTTCCTGGCATGGGCATTTCCAAAAATTTTTTTAATCAATTAAGCGTAAATTTTTTATTTTTTAAAGGGTACTGTCACTTCCGATTTCAGATTTTTATGTATATTTAAAAATAGCTAACATAATTTTGAAGTTTAGTAAATTAATTCACCTCCTAATCTCCCACAAATCCTGCACCATATTCGTATAGGGCAGCAAAATTATGGCCAAAGGCACCAGACTACTGTAGCGAATGAAGGTGTGGAGTTTCGAGTGAAAATCGTAGCGCATTATTTTCATTATCCTATTTAGAGAATGTGGAGACCGGGTAAAGCCTGGGAAATCAATTCCAGGCACCACGGGGCGCGTGCGAAATTTTTCAGATCCCAATCTATGCACATTAGAATGCCTGAGGACTACGCCAGATTCCTATCGACGCGGCTATGGGTAGAGCTGGGAGGGAGATTTTAAAGGGACCGTGCCAGCTCCAGAGCCTCTTTTCTAACTTGGAGAAATTAAAAAAAAACTTGTTTGCTCTAAATTAGAAACTACAGAGTTGGGTTGAGCCCCTGCTCCCCTTCCCCCGAGGCCCCGTTTGGCAAGAGTACACCGCGATACCGTCGCCGACGCCACGGCGCGCGCCCAAGGATCGCAGGCCGCCCAAAGAAGAGAGCCCTCTTCCGAGTGAGTCGCGGATTTTTGGGGAATAGCGCACCCCGTTGCCGCCGGTTTCCCTTTTATTCCCCCCGGCCCCGAGTTCCCCCGTCCCCGAGTTTTCCCCTGTCCCCGAGTACCCCGTCCCCGAGTTTTCCCCTGTCCCCGAGTACCCCGTCCCCGAGTTATCCTGTCCCCGAGTTCTCCTCCCCATCCCCTAGATTTCCCCCGCTTTATTTGCCCCCGCAACTTCTTTTAACATCGTTCGCGCTCTAAGTTCTCACTCTCATCAAATTCCCTGGCGTAGATTATCTCACAATAAACGTATCTCACTAAATTATTGTTTTCTCTAATCACATTCTAGTCTTCTAACAAGTTTTTGGTCGTTCTCCTAGCGTCTTGTAAGGCGCAGCGAGTTGTTTGTGGAGTTAGGAGCTCCCTCATCTTGGCACAACCCTTCTTGCGTGCTCTTCTTGGCGTTGTAGCCTTTGTGAAAGCGTTGGTAGCTGCCCTCCCATAGGCAGCAAAACCCAACTGGGGGCCGAACCGTGCTTTCCCCACCTCTCAACCCCTAGCAGAAGTATCCCCATGTGCTAAAGCGAAGGTTGGCCCAGCCGTTCAGCCCAGAACGAGCTCGGTGGCCTGGCCAAACTCGCCCAGAGTTTAGTGCCAAAGTTTAACCGTCGATTGGCAGCCCAAGCCTTTCGGACGTCGACATGCTCTGGTTTTGCCCGTGAACCAGGCATGAACAGCCATCGAAAAGCCCTTCTTTGAAGAAGTAGAGGCAAGATGAAGAAAAAGCCAGAAATTGGCTGAAAAAGCACCCAAGAAACCCGCAAGAAGGTAGCCATTATCACCGCAGAGACCGGTGGGCAAAGCAAGCACATGTATTGGGGAGGAATACATGATCGTGTTGCTGAAGAGTACACGGACCAAGTGTATATGGGTGAAAAAGACCGAAGAGCTTCCATCGCTGCAGCTGGTTGCTCGCGCACTTTGGTCCGGAGGAATCTCGGCATCATGAGACTCTCAGAGTGGGCTTAGGATCGAATCGCGGAGCCGATGTGACGACTGTGCGTCGTGGCCGCCTTTCCCCCATTTCCCCGTCGCAGAAATGGGAACCCGCCTGTGCATTTTTTTTGGCCTTTACGCAGTCGGCGTCTCGTAGCGTGCACAGCTCGAGCCGTTTAAGGTTTTTTTTGAGCTTTGTGGATTCGGTATGTTATTGCGGCTACCGAATGCCCATTGCGCTTCCCCCCGCTCTCGCAGTTTGAGTGGATTCTTGCCAGTACGGCAATGTCGCTTCAAAGAAAAAGCCGCCACAAATGCCCACAACTCTAGCCTGAAAGTGAGTTGATTATGCTTTATTCTCAGATACAATTTTTCCAGGATGACGAATGGCGAACGTCACTTTGGCCAGAAGTTCTCTGTGAAGACCGCTCTTTCTGCTCCCAATGGCCTCAAGCATCGCAAACCGGCGTATTCAAGGTTTTATCGGTTTCTCTAACCCCGTCTAGGCTTGATTTTCGACTCGCACCCGCTCCATGCGCAAAAGTTCATCCCAGAACTCGACTTCTTTTGAAAAGTGCAAAAGAAACACGTTTTGTAAAGGGAATTGATCAGCCCTGCGCAATTTTCTGTTTTCGCACCTGCAAAAAGGAGCTTTTGCCTCGCCATGTTGAGCTGTTTCGACTCTATTCGCAGAATTTCTCGCTTCCAAGTGCTCAGCATTGAGAATTCATCTTTTTGCTATCAGCCTATCAAGAATGGTAACCTTGATGACCCCAGCCTTTCGAATACCCGCGCTTTTCATTTGAAAAAGATTTTCAGGCCCCTCGTTGAAAGCAAATGGCATTTCGCAGCTTTTCTTGAGTCGATTGCTCTCTCCAAATCGTTTTTTTTTCAGTTAGGAAAAGTCCTGCACATCCTAGCAAGCAAGAATCTATTCAGACTACGTTGCGCTTCTCCTGTCCCTTGTCCCCGAGTTGATTTTTGCCCCGCCAACCCTTCCCCGATTCATCGCCTTTCAGGGATGAAGTTTTTGTAATTTTCCCGCGTTCTCACCCGCTCCTAAAGCAATAACATTGGAAACCCGGACTGGCAACCCCTTTCGCCAAGCTTTTTTACCCGCTACGAAGTTGACAAGAACCCGCTTTTCTTTGTTTTCTTTCGCTACGCCGGAATTTGCTTGTTTTCCCCTGCTCTCGCGCCCAAATTCTGCTTTGAAGGCTTCGAAATTTCGTTGCTAACTTTTCTTTCATTGTCAAAGGCCTTTTCAAATTCGTTTCCCATCTCGAAAAATGCTTTCTCCGCAAAACGCTCCTTTTTCAGGATTGATTTCGCCTCAAAATTCGAGCGAAAAAGCCTTTTTCGTTATGCGATAGCTCTGCCCAAAGCTATACTTTTGAATGGCCGCCGCAAATTGCTCATTTCTTGTGTACAAAAGTTTTGAGAACTTTATTTTCAATGATTGAAAACGTTCCCCGCGATATTTCCACACTTTCGCAAACTTTGGCCCTGCTTCTCGCCTAAAAATCGCCAAAACGTCGCTGGTCCCTCCGCGCTCTCGCATTGCAATTCCTTTTGCTTTGCTTTCCACGTGATTCAAGTTGATTGATTTTTGTTCTCAAAGTTCTGGTTGTTCTCGCCAAATTTTGTTTACATTTCACGTTTTCCAGGTAGCCTAAACCTGAAGAGCCCGGCCTGCCCCTCGAGCTGATGGCTTCCGACGAGGAACTGGCTTGCGTATACGCTGCCCGGATTCTCCAGGACGATGAAGTCGCGACCACCGGCGACAAGATCTCCACTTTCAAGGCCGCCAAGGTTTATTTCGAGCCCTGCTGGCCCGATCTTTTCACCAAGGCCCTCGACGGAGTCGATGTCAAGAACCTGATCGTCCCGGTCTCGTCTGGCGCCGGATCCGGAGGAGCCCCGCTGCTGATCCCCGGATTCGCAAGTTCTCGCCCGTTCAAGTTCTACACGCGCTCAAGGAGTCAAGCCCTTCACGCTCTCTTCAACGCCTACACGCTGTTCAACGTCACAAAGTGGTGAAGCTCGTCAGAAGGATGTCGCGAACAAGGGTCAAGCTCGTCGTCAACGTGTACGCCGTCAAGAGCGCAAGTTCTACGTCGCCGTCGTCACCGACTACTCGATGCGCAACTACATGACAAGGAATCAACCACCAAAAGTAAACCCTCTTTCCCTCGTGCCGTATTGTAATTCTAGTGTCCGTTTTTCATTTTCATGACTGTCTACGTTGTTATTCTCGTTCCCCATTTCCTTTTCATGTGTATCCTTTTCCCGGCCCCACCTTTTCGCTGTATCCCCCTCGCCTCGGCCCGCCCGTCCAAGACGATGGAACGCAAGGAGGTGCACGGGCCACCAACAAGGATTGGATACGACACAAGGAATGGATGTGAAACGACAACTACTACAAGGATCGGATGCGAAGGAAGGATGCGACAAGAATCGCCAAGACGTGCCCTTCAAGTCAAGCCCCACGACGAAGCCAAGCCTGTCAAGTACGTTCTCTATGAAGGAAGGATGTCTACCCGTCAAGTCAAGCAATAGTACGTTTACGTGAAGGAAGGATGCTGTTTCAACGTCGCGGACGACGTTTATTCCGGGGGGTGCCGAGTTGGGTTGAGCCCCTGCTCCCCTTCCCCCGAGGCCCCGTTTGGCAAGAGTACACCGCGATACCGTCGCCGACGCCACGGCGCGCGCCCAAGGATCGCAGGCCGCCCAAAGAAGAGAGCCCTCTTCCGAGTGAGTCGCGGATTTTTGGGGAATAGCGCACCCCGTTGCCGCCGGTTTCCCTTTTATTCCCCCCGGCCCCGAGTTCCCCCGTCCCCGAGTTTTCCCCTGTCCCCGAGTACCCCGTCCCCGAGTTTTCCCCTGTCCCCGAGTACCCCGTCCCCGAGTTATCCTGTCCCCGAGTTCTCCTCCCCATCCCCTAGATTTCCCCCGCTTTATTTGCCCCCGCAACTTCTTTTAACATCGTTCGCGCTCTAAGTTCTCACTCTCATCAAATTCCCTGGCGTAGATTATCTCACAATAAACGTATCTCACTAAATTATTGTTTTCTCTAATCACATTCTAGTCTTCTAACAAGTTTTTGGTCGTTCTCCTAGCGTCTTGTAAGGCGCAGCGAGTTGTTTGTGGAGTTAGGAGCTCCCTCATCTTGGCACAACCCTTCTTGCGTGCTCTTCTTGGCGTTGTAGCCTTTGTGAAAGCGTTGGTAGCTGCCCTCCCCACGGCGTCTTAGGCCTTACTTGGAGCGCGCACGAGGGGACGGGAGGGACTGCGCTAGGCCACGCCCCCTTTTGGTCCCCAAAATGTATGGGAAAAAGCTTTCTAAAGGCTATAACTTTTTTTCGAGAAAGAATTACAAATGTTCCACCTGGCGATCGATAGAGAAGACTCTAGGGAACATTTTGGTCAAAGAATCTGGGCGATCGCCGGGAAAAATTGGGACTTGAAACGTTTTGAAGCAAAAATCAAAATTTTTTCTGGTTACGGCCTCGGGACCGTCCCATCTGCCCAATTTTCTACCTGGAATTCGCTAAAGATTTATTGTCGTTACTTTGTAGAAACTTTTGCAAAAAAAGCAAAACGGTGTCGCGTCTTTAGGCGAGGGGAGGAATCGAACCAGCACACCGCGCCTGCCGCCGCCTTAGACCACTAGGCCATGCCCGTCCCCACCCCCGTGCGCGCTCTAAGACACCGTGTCCCATAGGCAGCAAAACCCAACTACAGTAGTACATTACAATACTATCGATGGGGGCGATCGTCACGAGTATTGGTACGTACTACTCAGCCAGCGCGTCAGCTCCTTTGCGCTCAATAGTCGCGGGAGGAGTAGCGTAACGGAATGATTTTTATACCAATCGAAAGCTCTCGAAAAACCAAAATATGCATAGCATCGGAAAATTTTGTTTTAAAGAGATCGGGTCAGCTGTATTCGCAATTTTTTTCTGCGACAGCTTTTAAAATCCACAGAATGCAAATTTTGCAAATGCAAATGCAAATTTTGGATAGTTGATACGCTAAAAACTCGAATCAAAAGCTTTCGAAATACGATGTTTTTACAGCACCAGTTTTACTACTTTGCATTCTCTTTTTTCTTACTCTTCCCAAAGCCTCCAACCTTATCAGCGACCGCCGTCCCGTTTTTGGAAGCTGTTCGCGAATTCGGGAGTGTTTCGATTTTCTGACGGCTCTCTCCTCAAAATATTGCACTGGACATGAAATTCCTAGAAAAGCGCCGAAATCGCCAATTTCTACAGTTCTCGGCTGCGTCATTACTTTTTGCGGTTGTCATCTATTTTTTCGCTGCCTCCACTACAGGCCAGTCCGCGGGTGTTGCGTTAAAGGAATGGTTGAAGACTTTCCTGGTGTGGCTGGATCAACTCGGTTTGTATCTGGTATTTTGTAGCCGGTAGTTTGTGGCTCTTTATAGGTTTTTGTAACGATTTTTATGGTTTTTCTGATTTGAAAAATGATACTTTAATATGAATATGAAAAGCATAGATCTTTTTAGTATTTTTCGCCCTCGTTGCCGCAACTGCGACGTTTTTCTACTACAAAACCGTTCCCGTGCCGGCACCCAGAAGATTCGATACGACCTTGAAGAAGTTGGCTCCGGGAGAAAAGGTGTATCCAGGTACGCAGTAGCACTAAAATTTGTCTGGCTCGCGTTAGAAGTTGTTTCTAAAGCGTGGTAGACTAAAAATATTAGTTGGAAATCATTTAAAGGAGCAGGAACTGTTAGTTCGCTCTCGTTCGTGGACTATGATTGGATATTACGCTGACTAGGCTAGCTAGCGTTTTTGGCGCATCGCGTAGCTGTCGATACATGTTCGCACGATCTGCTAGGTTCCGACGGTTTACGATGAGTCTAAAGAAGGCAACGCTAGCAGAGAAGCCTTACAAGGAGTCGTTTTTAGGTGATATTGGAGTTTATGAACGAGACCTAGCTAGTTCGATAGAGAAAAAAATTCTGAACAAGATGTCGTCTTCCAAATCTGCTAACCGCGTGCGCTGTTCAATAAAAATTAATTTGAAAATCATTAATCTAACCATCATTTTCCGCCTGATCCGCAGATTCGGCGCTCTGGGTGCGCGTCAACATCCCTTTAGGCCCCCCTCCAGCCATGACCAGCTGGTCTATTGGTAGTGCGCTTGCTTCATAAGTTTTTGTCTTTTTTTGCCAGCGGGTTCGACTCCTCGCTAGTAAAACTCTTTTGCTTTTTGCTCGATAATGCCAAATTCGGTTTCAATGGCATGAAAAACCAAAAAGGAAAACAATAAAACACAATAAGTTCCGAACCCTGGGCATAATTTTGCAAAAGTTTGATAGGCGCCGGCACTATCCACTAGGCCACGATCTCATGCGGATGCTGGTTCGCGCTGTGGGCTATGTCCCGGGCCTGGTCCATCGGGCGCAGCCTGACGTCCAGGAATTTTTTCATTAAAATTAATTTTTATTTATTTTTATTGAATACAATACACGGTTAGCAGATTTGGAAACCGACATCTTGTTCAGAATTTTTTTCTCTATCGAACTAGCCAGGTCTCGTTCAAAAACTCCAATATCACCCAAAAACGACTCCTTGTTAGGGAATCCCTCCAGGAAAGAGAAAAACATGAACAGCAATAATAGAAAAGCTTTCAGTCCTACAGTCCACATTCCACGAGCCGCCACCACCTTTTGTCGAGCGGGAGCCGACGGAAACTGAATATGGATATAGGATGAAATTCACCTAATTTGCATAAAATCTTGAAGTTTAAGTTATGTTTTTTGTGTGTATTTTTAAATGATGAAGAATTTTTGCTCTTGTATAATTTATTAAGAGCGATTAGAGAAAAATACAATGGAACCAGGGGTAAAATTCTATTGCTATCACAAATTTTGGTCGGGTTTGCGGGTATTGAGTAGGGAGGAGCAAATTGGGATTTTCTTCAAATTACATTCTAATTAAAGTATATAATGAGCAAAACAGAAAGAAATTTTGAGAATTTTTGTAGGGAGTATCAGGGGGTTTGGTGAGCGAAGAGGGTTTTTTGAGTACGATTTTTGGGCTTCTATCTATTAGGAGGAAGGTAGAAAGCATCGAAACGGAAAGTATGACGTAAGAAATTAAGAATACAAAAACAGAACTGAGAAATACAAAAAGAAATGGCCAGCAGATCTTTGGCACAACCGTACGCGGGAAATCAATTGATGTTTGTATGCAGAAACGGATAAAGATACGCAGAAAAAATGGTATTTGAAAAAAACTGGTTATAAACATACAGAAAGACATCAAGTAATGAAAAAGACGGTTGTTAAATATAAGAAATGCAAGAAAAACTGACAATTACAGAAAAACTGGCGGGGGTACAGAAGCTCATTTTCTAGAATCTTAAGGGTAGTTTGGACAATTATTACGACGTTTTTTTGTCCATAAATTAACGTTGCGCATGACGGTGGCGTCTGATGTTTTCTTTTTTGAAATTTTTTAGAGCTAGCAAATACTCATTCTAAAATTTGCATAAGTTCGATTTAAGCCTTAAATTTTGAGCTATATTTTGTAGTACATGAAACTAAGATATAGGATACAGAAGAACTAAAAAGTGTGGAATCCTGAATGCACTACAGTTTCTAGATACCGACGAGACGGCCAAGTAAGCCACACTACTCCTGGCGTGCCGCCTGCTCCTCCGCAATGAGTGTCATCTTGACGTAGTCGACGACGCGGTGCTTGAATCGGGGCAGGTCCGAATAGTACTTGTAGTACTCCGTGTCCATCAACTGCGAGAAGTTTGGGCGGTGCTCGACGTCTTTGATCAGGCTGAAAAATTGGATCAAATATTTTTTTTCTACCAACCATCCATTGACAAAGTTGATCGTCTGGGCGGAGTACATCGAGCTGGTCAGAAGAGGTGGGTCGCCATTTACGACCATCGCAAGTTGTTGGAAGAGGGGAACGGATTGGAAGTTCGGGAATGGGAATTTTCCGGTGGCGATTTCGACCTGAAGCGTCAAATTGGAAGAGATAGCTTGGATTTCCTTCTCTCTCTCTCTCTCTCTCTCTCTCTCTCTCTCTCTCTCTCTCTAAAATTAAACCTACCAAGGTGATGCCAAGGCTCCAAACATCAGATCGGATGTCGTACCCCTTGCGCAGGAAGCTGATACGCTCAGGCTAAAATCAATTGCTTAGATTTTTTCGGATATCCAAAAAAGATTTTCGATATCCGAAACCTACCGCCATATACGGTCGACAACCAGCATCCATCGTCTGCGCGATGGAATCAACCAAATATCCGGAAATCCCAAAATCGCACAGCTTGATGAGGCCGCGCTTGTCGAGTAGGATGTTTGAGGGTTTGACATCTGAAAAACGGCTCTTGAAACGTATATCTTTGTTTCACTAAGTCCCTCTCTCTCTCTCGCTTTCTCTGTCTCTGTCTCTGTCTCTGTTTCTCACTCTCTCGCTCTCTCCCTAACTGCATCCATACCTCTATGGATGATGTTGACTTCGTTCTTCAGGTGGTCCAGGGCTTTGATGGTCTGAAAAAATTGGCTTAGCGAGAGAGAGAGAGAGAGAGAGAGAGAGAGAGAGAGGGAGAGGGAGAGAAGAGAACGAGAGAAAAAGAACTCACCGACACAGCAACCGATCCAACAACGTCTTCATCAAACTTCTCGACCTTCAACCGCTCGTGTTGGGCCCGGTAGACGGCGTCGAGGTTGCAGTCCATGATTTCCATACAAACCCAGCAGTCGCCCTAAAAACTTTATCTTAGATAGCTTCTAAGGGAGGGTTTTTGCATCAACTGTAAGCAGGCACTGCTTAGCTTTATCAACTTTCAGAGCTTACTTACCTCATGAAAAGTCACACCGTAGAACTGCACAATCTGATCGCATTTGCTGGCCTTCTTGATGGCTTCTACTTCGATTCGAAGACGCTGCAGGGATTTGTTCATCTCCGGCTCGTTGGCCTGGTTGGTGATGAGGCGGACTTTCTGAAATTTGGGGTTCACGAGAGAAAGAGAGAGCGGGAGAGAGAGAGAGAGAGAGAGACACACAGCGCAGAGAGTGAGAGAGAACGGGAGGCAGATAAGTATGGCAAACACCATACCTTAACAGCCATAATCCGGCCTGTTCTTCTGTAGCTCATCTTGCTGACGTATCCAAAAGTACCCCGTCCGAGGAAAGATATCTGAAAACCTTTAATAAAATTTATTTACAAAACAATATAGCCGATTCAAGGCTTGGTTTATTTCTAAAAACGAGTATGTTAATAAAAATGTTAAATCGCGCCAAAAATCTTCAAAAAAAGAAGGCTTGAAGCTAAAATAGCCCTGATGCAAGCACGAAATGCTAAGTTCGAGCTTTACCTTTACTTTAACAAATTCTCCACCTCATCCAGATCGTTGTGGTCGAATGGGCGGGAGACGCCCTCCTCCGGGAAGACGATCTGGTCGGAGATGAACTTGCGGATGTAGTCTCTGAAAAATAATGGATTAATATAGGTTCCGTAAGTGATTCCGGATTATTAGCTATCTCTTTCTGCATTCATTTTAATTTTTACGTATTTTTGTCCACATGGTCCTCTTATTCATATTTTGTCACTCACACCAATTCCTTATATTTACAGGGAAGTTCCGGCTCGGCAAAGACCGCGTCGAGCTTTAGGCGTTTTCGTGGAGGATGAGGGCTCATCCTCAAAGAGAACGAGGTTGTTAAAGAAGAAAGACAATGGAGAAACAATGACAAAGAGGCAACCCGAACAGTTACCTTTTAAAAATTTCTTTAACAACCATTTCGAATTTTTTAAAGGTAGTTAGAAGACAGAATAAAATCAGCGCTTTTTAGAATTAACCAATTGCATCGTTTTTGGCTAGTTTTTTAAAGCTTAAAGGGCCTAGGAAGCCAAGGAAAGACCGAGAATATATGAAGCGTCGACGCTTCGTCAGGTTTTGAAGAGTTTTTGAGCTAACTTGACGTAAAAATAAGCCAGAAAAGTTTCTATATCAGAAAAATATTAACAGTTTGCTAGTCTTAATTAATTTTTAGATGTTTTCAGAGCTTTTTGGAAGGCAAAGCCTATCAAAATCTGGCCAGATTAAAAAACTTCGGGATTCTGAATATTTTTAAACGGTGTTTGGAGGCCTTATCCGCCTGATTCCGCCTTCAGAACCAAAAGTCATCACGCCTCTGACCTTCCGAACTTTCCAAAGAACACCCCTAGCCGTTTTTCCGCCCCTTTTTGCATGGAAGTCAGACCAAAGACAAAACACAAGGCCACCACCACACCATGTCCAAACAGGTTGCGAAAGGAGGCGCTAGCTGCTCGACTGGCTACTACGGGCCTATGGCCGATGAGTCACGACAAAATTCCGCACTCGGGTGCAAAGAGTGGTGAGGCGGAAAAAGGGCGGGGAAGAGAATTGCCCCCTGCTTATTGTCACACACGCGATGCTCTCTGTTTGTTTCGACTAATCGGCGGTTTTGCACAAATACACCTGAAGGGATTGTGAAATTGAGAGGAATGGTCGGAGGGAGAGAGAGGGAGGGAGAGAGGAAAAGAGAGCGAGAGATAGTTAGAGAGGAAGAGAGAGCGAGAGAGAGCGAGAGGGGGAGAGAGAGAAAGCTCGAGACAGGAGGTACAGAGAGTGAGAGACAGCTAGCAAGTGTGAGTAGGCGAGAGAGCAGAGAGCCAGAGATGGCGTGAGAAAACGAGAAACGGCGGGATAGCCAGCGAGACAGAGAAAAAAAAAAGAGAGAGAGAGAGAGAGAGAGAGAGAGAGAGAGAGAGAAAGAGAGTGAGTGAGAGGGCGATAAAGAGAGACAGAGGCTGGTTAAATGTAGTTAAAGCTTCTTGAATATCCTAATTTCCTCAAAGTCCCCATTAATCCTGATCAATTCCTGCAAAATCTTTATCTTTTATGATGCAATTCACCCCTAGGGGACGTGTAAATGGGCGCGGAATAAGAAACGCGACGCCTTTGAAGAAAAGGGACGGAAGGAAGGACTGTCACGTAGCACAGAAAAAATGGCGACCGGCAAAAGCCACGCCCCTTTTCGCGCCTAATGGCTTCTGTGAGGTGGGGTATGATATTTTCCACAAGCGATTGTTGTAAACAACAAGAAAAAAGAAAATATACGTCACTGAAAGCAATGAATCAAACGAATTTACGCTTCTGTGGGGATGAACAATGCTTTTTCACGCTGTTTGTTTGATTTAACGCATAATTTAACGATTTTTCTAGCTTCTGATAGTTTTAGTATACACGCGATTTTCGAAACAAGACCCTGCCATCCAAAAATAGCTGGCCAACCTGTTTGATAAGTTCTAACACGCCTGCCGTCCAAAAAGCAGACCCAAATTTGGCCCTAGTGCGTCACAACGCCCCAAAAATCGCCGATTTTTCTTGCGTCATGCCCCCAGGAGTCAAGCCCCATAAACGTGATAAGCTGCTATTCGGGGAGGGAAACGTATCCAAAACCTCGTTAGGAAAATGACAATGAGGCAATCAAGGTTTTGGTGATTTGGAAGTGGTTCGTTGGGTGAGTCAAGCGTTTGATTGCATAGACAGAACTTCCCAGATAAAAATTCTCGAGCAGCTGAGATAAAGCTTGAAACTTCAGTCTGGTAGAATTTGCAGCACTAAAGGTATGAGCAAGGCCTCCGCCATCTTAAACTAATTCTACTTGGCGAGAAATGTCGGAGATCAATCTTGTGGCTTCGACGATCCTTTAGGAACGGCGTTTTGGGTTTATAGATATGGTAACAGCTACAGTATACAAATCGCCACACGATCTATCCCGTAAAAACAACATTTACAGGGTGATGGATTGATTGGCCAAAAATACGCTGCTCGCTGCTCGCGACGCGACACGCAACGCACGCGGCCTCCCCGCTAATAGGGTGTCACGTTGCGTGTTTCGGATTATGCAACACATATGGAGTATCCAGAGCACAAAAAAAAAAACATTCTTTGTCAGCCCTTGACAGTTTTTTAGGGCGTAAAACTTTGCAAAGGCACATCGCCATGAATCCAAAAAAAGCTTGTTTTCCCCATAAAAACATGACAAAAATGACTCACAATTGGGAGAGCTCGGACGCAGTGGACGTGGCGGCAGTGGTGGGTGCGGGGTCGGGAATAATATTCTCCACATTGCCAAAGTCGAGCCGTGGCCGTTGAAACCGGGGGAACATCTGGAATTCACATAGGGATGGAATTAAATTATTTCGCTAAAAGATGTTTGATTTTTTATAGCAAAGCTAAAGCAAAATTATGATCTACAATAACCAACCATTTTCACAACACCAACACGCTTTTTGAGAAGTAGTGAATATACCGAATTTGTATAGTAATGGAATTGGGTGTAGAGAGTTTGAGAATCTGGAATTTTTGAGGGTGATTCGAGCGACTGGTCGGGTTAGTTTTCAATTAAATAGAAGCTTTATTTAAAAACGTACAATCACACAATAAACTAAACACAACAATTTTTCTAAGGCTTTAATATGATTTATTAAGATTTATAGGCATGTTTCAGAAATAAAATTGAAATTCAGGCTTCGAATTACCACAAAAAGCGCTTAAATATTCTTTTCTTCGGTAAAATCCCAATTAAAATCCCAATTTAAACGTAAGTCTTCCCCATTAAAAGCAATGAGATTAATTACTGCTCCAAAATTGTTACTTAAATTATTTATCTTATTTTTAAAAGCTATTCGAACCCAGAATGAGTCAAATATGCTCAGTCGATAGGTGCAGCGAATCACTAGTTCGGGCGCTTTATCTTCCCCACTTTTCCTCGCTCAGATAATCGTTGGATTAAACTACGAATCATAAAGGGATGACTTGTCTGGTTCTCTCCTCTCTCTCTCTCTCTCTCTCTCTCTCTCTCTCTCTCTCTAACAACAAAAGAACGGCAGGCGCCTATCTACGTCACGCAATACAGGTGAGTCATTTTGCAGGGGGAATGCTGAAAAGGCGGGAGAGAAAGATCAGATATGGCTGCAAAAAATATATAAAACGGGAAATGGTATCGTTAACCTCAAATTTTCAACAATTCTGATCTTTGTACAACGTTTGAAAAATTATGAATTTCCAGATACTGTAGTTATTAGAAAGCTTTATGTAAAAGACATATCAGGGATAACTAATCTTTGAACTTAGTAATCGAGTTATTTAATATATTTTTATCTAAAGCCTTCCTAGAGTTTTACAAAAAATGATGCAATAGATACTCTAGAGTGTTCCTGAACTTTCTGGGACTTTCAATTAGATATGGACGCCTGGATTTTAGAAAAACAGTAGTATAGTAAACTCTATAATTTTTATGTAATTACAGTAATAATCCTCATAATCATCATTACAGTAAATAAGAGAAGAAATATAGAAAACGCGATCCGAGGAAGTAGACGTTCGGCCCTGCCAACTACTTTCCCATATTCAAATCAGATGGGAAGAGTTAGGCGCACTAATAGACCTCAAAAGTTATGGTATCCTCTCCAAGATTCCGGTATTAGAGATTTCTAGCGGTTAAGAAAGCCTTATATACCCTTCCAATCGCTCCAATCAACCCCCAGGAAAAACTCCTTGCACAAGCCAACCCGGCAGCCAAATGACTGGACTCTTAGCAAAAAAAATGTGGCCATATTGCACAACCCCAGACCCAAAGCTCCGCCCCCCAAAAAAAGGCTTACGCCGGGAAATACGAAAGTCAGGAAAGAACGAAAAGACCGTCCCTTTTCAGTGATCACAAAATTTGACGGAACACTAGATTTGAGAGAGCCGAGACGGAGAGACGGTCACCCGGGGTGACCGGCTGCCCTGGGGGCACAAGAGACGGGTGGCCAGGGGAGTACCGCGTAGCCGAGCACGGCCAGGTATGGACGAAGGGGTTGGCCTATGCTGACGACGCTTTTCGTGATGCAACGCAAAGATTCGAGGGATGGGGGCGCGTGTAACTTTTTGCGCGAACAAAAGCAGGGGGTGCGGGCCCGGCATGAAAAACGAGACCGGTTCAGTTTTCAGAAAAACTTCTTAGCGGCTTAAAAAATTACCTAAAAAACAAAACAAAAAAGAAAAGCTGAGAGATAAGACCCTAAATATCTAAATAATAGAATCCAAAAAAAACCTATGTACTGAAAATTCATCAATTTGAATTTGGGAGCGAGAAGAGGAGAGAGGGCGAGCGTGAGAGATAGAGAGAGAGCGAGAGAGAGAGGGATGAGACAGAGAAAGAGAGGGCCAGAGAGAGAGAGAGAGAGAGAGAGAGAGAGAGAGAGAGAGAGAGCATGAGAGAAAGATGAGTCAAAGAAACCTACCACCTAACAACATATATTTTGCAACCAGACTCTATTAATGCGCAGACGATCTAGCAGAGAATCTTCAGGGATTTATAGGTTGTTTCATATATTTATTGCTATATTTTTCATGTAATTAGCACGCAATGGAATCAAAATTGTATTATGACACATCAACGGGAAATAATGCTAAACACACTATTGACTAGTTTTTGAGCAGCTTCGGAACAGTTCGAAATTTTGAAAGACGGTTCCAAGGAACAAATTTGAGCGTAAAAATGTTAAATAAAAATAGAAATAGGCAAACAAGTCAAGCTAGTTGATCAGCTCGGGCATATCGCCAGCGTCTTCATCATCTTCATCAACAGGTTCCGCTTTTTTCGTAGTAGCGGCCGTCTCTTTCGGGTCATTGAGCGTGATTTCTTCTAGCTTCTTTTCGATGACGATTGCTAAAAAGAATGCTTGAGATCAATAGCCATGATTAAATCGTAAAATACGAAAACTTTTGCTTACTTTTGGCCTGATCCCACAATCGCTGATTCTCCTTGCTCATCGGGTGATCGGGGTCGAGCGTGAAATTGAGGATTTGTTGGGCTTCTTCGAAATATTTGAGCTAAACGTATGAAATAATAAAGTACAAACTACTGACTTATGAGCACATTAATGACCGCATTCCCCTTGATGCTCCAAAAACTTTGAAAAGCTCGTTTTTCAAAGCCAAAGAGCAAAAATGTTGAGAGTGTTAATTTGTCGTCCTCTGCGCTTCAAAATCTACAGATTTCTCCTTCTTCTGCAAATTCCCAGCAAATATCCCGATATTTCGGAGGTGGAACGCGACGGCAGGGTGGTTGTGGGGGAACGACTGCCGGACGCATTCTTCACTCATCAGGTGGAGCCGGAGAAGTTCGTGATTATCGCCAGGTGGGATCATTGGGATCAGGGCCTAAAATACAAATCTCGTTCTCTCTCTCTCTGTCTCTCTCTCGCTCGTTCTGTCTGTACCAAAGTATCAACCTCTCGGTCGGATAGATATCGGCACCGCGACACACCGAAAATGATAAAAACAACGGTAATAAGCTGATTTTGCACATTTCGCACCTGTCGAGGCCCAGTCGTGTGCAAGGCTAGATTTCTACACTTTTTTTTTACCTATAAAAACTTGAAATCTCGCACGTACCTGGATCAATCTGCAGTAATACACATTCACGTGCGGCAAGATCTCCCCAAACCTCTGCAGTAGATCCTGGAGGAAAGGCATCTGGGACTTGGCTGGCATCTAAAGAGCGACTTACGATCTAATCAAGTAAGATATTCCAAGTCATTAGTAGCTCCTCGGAAATTTTCAGCTATTTCTGTATAAATTTTCGATGTATCCATGACTTCCACAGCCCTTTAAAACAACGATCACCAACCTGATCGAGTTCCTGGTCCTCAAAGATGCTGTCGATGAAACGCATGGCCTGGATGGCTTCAATGACGTATTGGGCGGAAAGCTTGAAAAAAAATTCGTAAAATGACCAAAAACTTACCGTTTCGCTGCACTTTTTACAAGTGATAATCTGGGTGGTCGGATTCTTATTCGCGCCCTCGCCCCAGATCAGGATTTCGGTGGGCTCCACTTTCTAAAGGTCTAAAGATTATTCTGACTCCCTACTTACTCAGAAAGGCAAACCATAAAATATACTTTTTAATTGCATCACTATTCTGCGTGTCTTTTACATTATGTCAAGAAACGTGTTTAAAAACTTCTAAAATTCGTGTTTGAGCTCCTTTGTGTGGTTACACATGCACAGTAAGAATAATTGTTGGTATCACTGCAGTACTACTGTACTTACCGAGCATGTTGGACACAAAATCGACGTCAATCGATGATCATTCGAGTCCATACAGCGCTCACATTCACATGTAAAGTACCAGGTGTCTTTTAATAACTTTCGTCGCTGTTGTTGCGAGCTAAAAAAATTTTAGGTGTCTTTGAGGGTTCGATAATTTTCTATTTTTGATAATTAGCTAGAAAATAATATAGAGAAAATAGAAAATAGAGGAAAATAACCAAAAACTTACCACAAGATCTCGATATAGGAGTAGAACGTGTTTTTCTTGTCAAGAAGATTCACGGAGCTGTTGAGGGCTCGGAGCGTTGCTTTGAAACTGAAAATGGAAGCATAAAAGAGCTGATATTTTTTAAAGGATATAGCGTTTTAAGGTATCCACGGCAAATAACAAGATTTTACAAATTTTTAAATCTCTTACTAACGATTTTGAACTTACCCGTCACAAGTATAAATCGTATTCGGCCTGCAGCTGTGGTCGTAGGCGCATAGATCGAGGTAGAGGCCCTTACCGATTTCCTAAAAAATTATTTTAGTATTTTTTGTATTAAAAAATGTTTTGAAAAGGTTTATCATTACCTTCATATAGCCCTTATCGCTAATGGCATGCCGATTGATGTAATTTCGGCAATGCAGCTCGAAAACGAGGTCTCGGGGTAGCAGGAATTTTTCTTCGTAGAATCCCGTCAATTCGGTGTAGATCTCTAAAATCGTTCAAATATATCTTAGCCAAAAAGGAAGTATTTTACTGTATATCTAAATATCTATTTAATCGGTTTATTTATCGCTTTTCTTACCATTGAACTTCTTCTTGGCAAACTCGTCATCCCGCATCTTATCCACGTGGGCCCAGATTTCCATAATTTGACGCTGTGACGTCCTGTCCTTGTAGAAATCAGCTTCTTCCTTGTCTTTTCCGGAGGTAATTGTCTGAATTAAATTAGTTACCTATTTTTTTCAAGAAATTAATTTACCTTGTATCTCAACACGATTCTCCCAAGGAGCCGCACCTCGATGTCGGCAAGTTTTGTAGCCGTCCGAAATCCTTTGCATTCGGCCTAGAATATGTATGAACTTAGTTTTAATAGTTTTATTTTTCTAGATTGTATAAAGCCAAGGATCAAATGAGGAAACATCCAGAAGTTAAAGCCCAAACCTTATGATCCTTCCATCCCAATTTTTGGCATTCCTTATTGCAGAAAATGGCCATTCCGCAGCCGATACAATGCCTAAAAGAGGTAGTAATTTTCTGATTAACTTCAGCTTTTTATATGGATACCTTAGCTACGAAAAGCTTACTTAAAACAGTCCTATAAACCCCTAGAATAAAACTTAAAATTAAATCCGGAGTTTTTTAAAGATGTTACATGTATTAAATTAAAGTTTTGTGTCTCGATTTTTTAGAAAAATAGGATCCTTGATCCCAAAGATTTTTATATATTTTCTAGCGGTTTTTCAAGCCAAAATTCCGTTTCTTTACCCCGTCCGACTCCTGTTTTACCCTTCCCAAAGGCCGGGACGGCATGACGCAAGGGATGTCTGGGGCTCCCGGCCACGCCCCTTCCCCTTGCCTCAAAACCCCTCTCCCCACACCCCGGCCCGTCAGCAGCGTGGCGCAGTGGAAGCGTGCTGGGCCCATAACCCAGAGGTCGGTGGATCGAAACCACTCGCTGCTAAGCTTTTTGCTTTTAGCGAAATTTCTATTGTGGAACTTTTGCTTTTTGGGTTTAGCGCAGGATTTCGGCTTCTCGATCGTCGAAATTTATCGTTAAAACCTCTTTTGAAGGTTTTAAACCTTTTCAGGGCAGTTAGAAGCGGAAATGAGGTAGAGCAACGAAAATAAAGTTCAGATGAGCACTTACTTTTTCTGCGGACACGCCTGTAGACAATACCAGCAATAAGTGTCGAGTTCATCGGTGAATAAAGCATAGGCAAATGGGTAAAATTCGAGGCGAGTTGGCGAGTCTTTGACTGACTCTTTGAGCGTCATTCTAAAGGTATAGCTTCAGGGACAATACGTTAAAATTAGATCAGCTAAAATAAATTAGAAAAATCACCTTAGCAGCATAACTTTGATTCGGTTTAAATATCAAAGTTAAAAAAAATTGATAACCGACAGAAATTTGAAATTTTTTAAATTTATCTGTCTTTTTTAGTGTGCCATTTTCGTAGCGAGAATAGCCGTTCTGAAGCTACCAATTTTACAAAGGACATAAACATAATTAGCTTAAAATAAGACTCCAAACTGCCGGAAATATCTTAAAATTTTGCAGGCAGGTAAAATTCTATTTTTTTGGGATTTTTGGTCATTCAACGCTTTATGACGGGTAGCCTTTCCATAATTTACAAGCCTAAATAACACATTTTGCTAAACATACAGTAGTACATATAAAAAAGTAAAAAAAAAACGCTTAAACCCCACCGATCTGCAATATCCGCCACCCCCGCCCGGTCCGGATGTGAAGGTGCCAATATTTGTGCTCTTAAGAAAGAGAGAGTGAGTGAGAGACAGCGAGGGCGGATGTCGATGGGGAATCGATCCGATTGGTTCCTCGGTCCGTCTGTCTTTTTAGTCGGTCTGTCTGTTTGTTCGTCTGTCCATATGTCTTTCTTTCGGCTAGTTGCTGGCCTTGGGCGTAGCGCTGCTAGCGGCACGATGGTGTGTAATAGGGCATGGGCCCGGGGCGAGTACGCAAGAACACTACGATGGATAGATTGAGCTAAAGGTATCTCCAAGTCTAACGGTCGAAGGATCTACAGGAGGAGGAGTACCTAGAAAACTATTTTTGGCATCCTTTCACCAAAAAGGTAGCATTGGGAGTATCGTAAAGGCATCATGAAGGGGTAGAAACCAGTAAGGAAACCGAGCAAGAAGTTGCGCCTCTGACAAAAGTTTCAGAGGGAAGCAAAAATCAAAGATGCGAGCGTGACTTTTAAAAATTGAGATTCAAAACTTCTGTGGCTTTCAACTGATAATTTCAGAAATATCACTAGTTAAGAGTAGAATTTCAGATACCACCACATCGTTTACTGTAATTAATCTCGGCAGCGTTCCAAGTGCTGCAAAAGACCGCCCTGAGTGCCTTCCTCGTCCCTTGAATCTGAGGATAATTCGATGTTCAGAAACTAAATTTTTTAGGTATCGGATCGATCCTTTGCTACTTTTCCATTAATGCGCAAAGCTCCGCCGCGCCATCCAAACATTATTATTTATGGGCCTTAAAAAAGTGCAAACTCGTCCTGACGAATTCAAAGTACGTTCAGAATTCCGGATCAACAAATACAAATCGATCAGCCCACAACAATGCTGTTTGCCCCGCGTGTTTTTCTTCGGGCGTCGTCGGCGGGAGCTGGCAAAATGACCAATACTTTCCGCCTGAATCATGGGCATCTATAACTTGAAATTTTGTGGAATTATACAATCGTCCTTACCGCCTTTCACAGAAATTGATTTTTCATACCGTACTCCTCTCGATGCAGCTCATTTCGAAATCCTATTGACTTTTCCTACTTTGCTTCGTTATTTTTTGCAAAATTTTAGCACGAACGATAGAGCTCCATACTGTAATGTCAGGCTTTCATTGAACATTTTAGCTATTTTTAAGCCGCATGTTCCAGTCCCTTTAAAGCCCAGCTTTTTCTTTAGTTCGTCTCTCTTTTCCCCTGGGTCCCACCACGCTTCCCCATGCACTATCGCTGGCCTTTTGCCACCCCGACCCCTATTATGAGGCGTTTTTTATCAGGTCGTGTGAGTGATGCTTTATCTTTCGAAAGCTCGCCTAAACCTTGTATTTTGGGGTCAACACTTGGGATGTGTATTTTTGGGAATTATTAAAATAGAAATATAAATAAAGTTTGGGGTTTACAGTATACGAATTAACTTTAAGTTCAAATTATTAGTGATGCCATTAATGCGTAAATTGCCACTTTCGGATGGATTGCCCAAAAACAGCTCAACCCGCCCCCGGCGCGCATTCAAATTTTGGGGTCAGGTACGCAGAGATTAGGGGGATTTTCATGGCATAAAGGTCAACGGAATTCTTTTGAATTTTAAATTTTTGGGTTTAAATTGAATTAAAAGACGTTGATATTATCTGTAGAATAGTTTTTCTGCTATAATTCATAGTTTTATAGAACCTATCTCCCTAATTTTCCTAAAATCAGCATTTTCAACACCTTTTTTGGACAAAAATGGGTTAAATTTTCTTTGAAGATGCTTTTTATGTTTTTTTTAACGTCTAGTAATATGCTTAAAGTATTATTTAGCGGTTGTATAGCGATCTACCATCCTGAATGTACTAAAATCTGCAGTTTTCTGACTATTTCTCGGTCGAAGTTCGCTTCTTTATTGGATATTCTGATGCTTTTCAAGCTATTTTCTTCCAATTAGGCGTTAGATTTATATTGGGTTAATCACTATACTATTTTATAATTGATTAAGTTCCCCCTTCCGGAAAAAGCCAAGAATTTTCTGGAGCTACGTGAGCTTTGCGCGGCGCTAGATCGTATCTATAGACAGGCTCCTGGCTCGAGCTACAATTGGCTCGTGGCATTTTTGAGGGTCGGAAATTTGGAAAGCTATCGAATTCTGGATTCTGATTTCTAAGCAATATACCTCTACTAATTCTACACCCAAAAAATGGATACCGTTGACTCTTACTATTCGTATTGGGTACGCCAAAAATGTTTCAAAATTCGATTTTTATGTATTTTTCAGGCTGATTCAATGTCGGAGGACGATTCGGAAGGTTCGTATATTGTTTAAAACTTAATGAAATAATTTATATAGTTTTATCAAAGCATAATAAGATAATTTTTAGTAGCTTAAAAATTTAGAAAGCTGAAACTTCAGGTTAAAATCCGAATTTCAGTTGCTGGCTCCCGAACCCATCGTACGACTCGAGTTGGCGGCATCACCTATCAATCAGGTATTTTTTTGTTAATAAACATACTAAAAGCATATACTTTTTACTAATTCCGGAGCTCCTATTTATTTAGTCTCGTTTTCAGTGTCCGAGTCCGAAGGAGATTTTGGCGATGAAAATGCATGCCTGATTAATAAGAAGAAGCCGGCGAGGAAGGTGGGCGATTTACATTTAATTTTTTATTGTAGATTTTATTTATTTGTTATTAAGCTATCTTGATTTCTTGAACAGTTGTTGTAGAACATTGAAATCTCGAGTTTTTTATGATTTTGGAACCATTAGAATTAAACCGAAGGGTCGAAAAACACGGAAAAAGCCTTTTAAACCGGTTAAATATTAAGGTTAGTTGAAAAATTCCTTGTGGTTTGCAGTTTCGAATACGAAACCACTTCTAAAATACAATGGCTGAAATTCCCAACTTAGAAAATGCAATCGCTCAAGTTTCCAGCTTTCAATGCATCCAAAAGTACAGAACAAGTCGAAAACGGCGCCAAATGTCCAAGAAATGTAAAAAATAGCGTGTAGTGGTTGTTTTAAACCCTGAATTTATAAACTAGGAATCTCCAAAATTCAATCTTTCGAATTCGGGGCTTCCAAGTACATTTAAAAGCAAGAAAGACGAACAACCAGTCTAGAAATTTGAAAAATGAAATTTTTTTGACACAAATAACCGTGTACTTTTGTAGTATACCATGGAAAATTCTATCGCCACGAAATCTATTATTTTCCAGCTCCTAAAGTCAATATATAGACTTCCCTCGCGTTATTTGGGGGCTTGCCAAGGAAAGGGGGGCGCCGGAACCTGCTTCGTCAGTCACCCCTCCCCCCCAAGCGAGACCATAGTGCGAACAGCAGCGTGATTTCGTTAAGATTAGCGCCTACTTTCTGTAGAGTTCTTACTGGAAAAGCTATCCTCTATACTCGTTGAACCAATTAAACTATTGCTATGCGACGTTCCTATATTTATGAGCCGGATTTGGTGAGGTTTCGAGGAAGTAAAATGGCTACTAAACTTCAAATAGTGACTTTTCTTGGGCATTCATATGACATTTTGTCTATAAAACTGCAATATTAACTTTATAAATGATTTTTATGTAATTCGGGATAAAACGAGTGTTTATTCAGCCATTGTTAAGGCTTTGGTTAATTTAATAAATTTTGAAGCCTAAAATAGGGATGTTGCTACGTTTCCAGGCTTTTTGTAGGAACACCAAGTAAACATAGTAAAAAATAACTGTAGTTATGGTGTTAATAAGCATATATCCTTGTTTTTCAGGATGAAAGAACGCCGATTTTGCATCGATCGGTAGGAGATCCGGCCAGAATTGCTGAAGAGGGACGAGCGACAAGAAGTAGCTGCACTTCCGGTGATGAAGACCCGAATTTTTTGATAGGTAGGCTGGCTTCTGATTCCCATAAACATCTTCTAAAACTGCTATTTTTGTTCACTTTTTTTCAAATAGGGTAGACTTGGTCGAGAAGACTTTTTAGACGAAGCTGTCCTGGCCGAGGAGTACGGAGCCCTGGCTGGCGGCGACGAGTTCAAGACGGCCATGGAGGAGGCTATTCGGGCAATTCATCATGGGGTATTCCCAGAAAGGATTGCCCAGGGGTCCTCGGGAAGCTATTTTGTGAAGAATACGCAGGGGGTCGGTTTTTTTATGGAAATTGTGATTTCTGTAAAATTGCAAATCGACTTAACGTTCGCGTATGATGGCTAATTAACAAAAATTATTGGAGAAAGTTGATAATAGCGACTTAGAGAAAAACAAGCTGATCAAACACTAACGCAAATACTAGCGGAGGTTCAGTAGGATAGCAAAAACCGATTTTTTTACGATTCTCGTTTTGTTCAGCCAGGCGAGCAAGCAGAGATCCTTTAGGAAAAACAAAGAAAAGCGAGTAGTACTCTACTAAATACCTCCATTTTTAGAAAATCGTCGGCGTATTCAAGCCGAAAAACGAGGAGCCATACGGCCATCTGAACCCGAAATGGTTGAAGTGGCTGCATAAGGTAATTTGTTTTTATATTTTTATTTTAATAATTCTGTCAATGTCTCATTTTTCAGAATAAAAACGTATTTTAGGTGTTCCTACCCTGCTGCTTCGGCCGGAGCTGCCTGATCCCAAATCAGGTTGGTTTTTTGGGGAGATATTGTAATCTTCGCATATTTTTCGGTTTTTTTGGACCTGGAAGCCATTTTGTATATCTTTTGCTGTTTTAAAGGACCTCTCAAGGCTCAATTCTGTCCTGTCGTTCCACCGATTTTTTGAATTTCTATTAAGAAGAAACATCGATACACAGGGGGCAGGCAGCGCTGTTTAGAGGAAAGTTACGGCGGCGTGTCTGGGCTTGGGGCAAAGAGTGGAGAGTTGCGCATTAATGGCGGATAGTTGGAAATACTGACAAATCGAGGAAAATTAGAATAATCGAAAATTAAAAAATTAGCCGGAGGGTGACTATCACTTGGTATGCAAAAGCTGCTGCGAGAGAACACTTTGCGTCTGGTTTTTGGGGGCATGTAATGGGAAATTATACAAGAATTAATACCAAAGTTAAGAACAATAATCCACTAGCGTAAGCTCTGCTATCGGGCATTGGGGAGTAGCTAGACAAACCGGGAAAACATCGAAAAAAATCAGGCATTCGAAAATTAGAAAATTGAAAAAGATACGGTAAAGAAAAAACAAAGCAAAACTGCGCGCAGAAAAATCAATTACGACATGAAAATCGAAGTTTTGCGTTTTTTAAAGTCCATGGTCTCGGCCGAGGGTGGAGTAGTGGGAGCCTGAAAATTATGTAGCTAAATTCTGTTATTTTTGAGAGTTATTGCTTACTTTTATTAGGCCTTGCAAATTTCTACTAGATTTGGTAATAACTAATTTTTAAGCGATTGTTAACTATTTTTCTTAGCATTGGGGTTGAATTTTTCCTTTTTTTCTGGCTCACAATTTGTTTTCAGGACTGCATATCGTACTCTCGCTGTCCTGAAAGAATCTTTTAGCCCGGTTTTGATTTAATGAGATTTTCTGAATTTTTCCAAGAACCTACTGGTCATGCTCGACTGGCCATCGTCATACTTCAGCTCGGAGGGGACGTGGATTTCCTTGCCGGCGTCTAAAGAGAGTGTTTTACTCACTCCTACTAACATTTCTCTCGCGCGCTCTCTCTCTCTAATTCTCTGAAAAATTACTCACCATCTTCCGCTTTCGGGATTTCCACTAGCGATGGGTCTCTCGGTCCGGGGGTGTCGATGGAACGTCCTAAAGCACATATTAGCATTTTCTATGATTATGAAAAATATACACGGCTCTTTCTCTCTCTTTCTCTCTCTCTCTCTCTCTCTCTCTCTCTCTCTCTCTTTCTCTCTCGTATCCAAGGCATTGTGCCATCCCAGTTCATTTAAAAGTTCCAAAACCCTTAGGTATCGACGCTTATGACCTGCTAATAAAGAGAGAAAAGTAATATATGAGAAGTAAAAAGATGAAAGGAAACTCCACACTGCGAACAGTGGGAGTCTTAACAGGCCGAAGCCTGCGGAACCCCGAAGGGTGTGAACTCGCAAGCGAGCGAACGGCAAAGCCGTGTGAACCAAACCACAAGGGAATGGCGGGTTGCTCTAAGAAGAGCTAAAAGAAGAAAAAATGTAAAGTGGGTGCCTGTTTCGACCCTTATCCAAGACAGGCTAGTTTAACATCAGGGTGGGTCTCCTCAGCTGGATCCCTGATGTTTTCTAGTTCAAAAGGTTAAATTCTTAGTTGTATAGTAAAGTATTTTAATTTTTGTTAGGAATTTGTCTACTTTTGGATGAGTTTTAGTTATATTTGTTTCACTTTCGCTGAAATTCTCTTTGATTTATCAGATGGCTTTATCAGCCCCATCATTCGAGTCAGGCCGTGTCGATAGGGTGGGTGTGTAGGCTAACGTAATCGAATGGATGGGTTGAATTTTGAGACTAACTAAGTGAAAGAGTAAAGAATAGAAGAAAAGGTAGAATAATAGTAAGCTGATACTATTAAAGTATGAGAGGGACAGAAAATATTTATGTAAGTGTTATAGGGGTTAGTTTTAATTTGTGTATCAAGTTTTTGCCACTAGTATCGTATCTTAGGCTGAGCCCTGGGTGTTTTTTTCATAGCTTTACTGCATAGATTTAGTAAAATTTTACTGGGGTAGCCGTTTTTCTTTAAGTGGGTAATTAGATTTTGTAAATGTTTAATACATGTATCAAGATTGGTACATTTCCTAGCTATTCTGATGATTTCTCCTTCTACGCAGCCATGTTTGATAGCGTATGAGATGTTAGAAGAATAGTTGGGCATGCGTGTAACACTAAATTGATAATCGTCTATTTTATTATATAATTCCGATTGTACTTTATTGTTTTCAATGTAGATTCTGAGGTCTAAGAAATTACCAGATTGAGTTGTTTGATTAGTTTGTTCTAATGTAAGTTCTTTAGGGTATATTTCACTTAGCAAAGTTTGTATATTAATGCCAGTTTTATATAGAACAAAAATATCGTCCATATATCTGTGTCCTACCACTTCTTCTGTATAATTATCTTTAAGAAATAGATATTCATAGTAACTGAGGGTAAGATCAGCTAACATAGGACTACAGTTTTGACCTTGAGGTATACCTAATTTTTGCTGAAATAGTTGTTGTTTATATGATACAAAGCTATTATTTAGAAGGTATTTAACTAAATAAATAATTTGGTTTTTATTGTAGGTGTTATTTCCTCCGTCATTTGTATAATAGCAATTTTTGTATCCTAGTTTTATATTGGGTTTTTTAGAATTTTGGAAACAGATATCTAGTATACCATTAATAGCTGAGTTAACTATATCGTGGGGTAAATTAGTGAAAAGACTGCTGAAATCAGCTATATAAATGTTATTTTTATTTTTATTTTCCAATAAATTAACTTGATTCGAATTATCAATGGACCAATATACTTTTTTATTAGTGAAATTAGTAATAGCTAAGCAATACCTCTGGAAATGTTGTCTTATAAATTTTAGTATTTGATGAAGGCATACTGATATTGATTTTATAGAGCTGTTATATGCACCTGTAATGAATCTAAACTTAATTGGGTTCTTATGGAATTTAGGTAGGCCATATATTTTAGGGAGATCTGATGTTTCACCAATTTTAAGTTGATATAATATTTGAGTATTTAGGTGCCGTTTAATAATTTGATCTCTATTTTCACATGTATATGTCTTATAAGTTTCATTTCCGTTAGGCTGCCCATTAACGTATCCCATTTCTTTATCAATAAATAGTTGATATAGTTGTGGGCATATAATTGCAAAATTAGAGGTAGCTTTATCAACACTGGTAATGATAAAAGTTTTACGTAAATCTCTAATTTCTGTCCAATTTAGTTCAGTAGCTTTAGGGGTAAGATAAGATGAAAGAATTATGGTTATTATATCTTCCGAAATAGTTTTATTATCACAATTTTTAGTAATTTTAGCTATTTCTTTTTCTAATTCTTCAATTATTCTTTTTCTATGATTAGCTTCATATGGATTAAGGATTGGTCTATATTTGGTGCCTAGTTTTAGAATTTTAGATGTATCAGGGTAGAATTTTGTAAGGGTTTCACTGTCACCAGTTAGAATATGGGTATGACCGTTATATTTTATTGTATTTAAGCTGTTTTGATAACTATAGCATTGTCTACAAACGTTCCTAGTATCATTTGTGGTATTGTTATCTAATTTATTAAGATATCGGTTATAATTAAAGAATAATTGACCAAGTGTAGGGTTGTATTGATAAGTTATTTGAAAGTCGTTATTAAATAATATTTTATTTTGGCTAAGATAGGTTTTTAAAATCTTTTTAACATTAATATTTTCTATTTTAGGTTCAATGTAAGGTATTTTTAGTCTAATTTTGGGATGTTTTTTAGGTTTAATCTTAGTCTCGTTCTTAGGCTGATCGTATTTATGTATAACGGCTTTAGCTAGAGCTTTTACATTCGGATTATGATGATCTAGATATGGAATGAATTTAGCGTGTAATTTTTTGGTAAATTATGTGTAAGTGTTCTAATTTCATTGGGCTTCATTTCTGTAATTTGATAATTTTTAAATTGGAAATTATCAATTTTGGCTTTCTTTTTTCTTGTTTTATGACCTCTATCTCGTGGTGGGGGTTGAATTTTTAAACAGAAATAAGGAGCCTGTGTTTTATATTTACCATTAGGATTTGATATAATTCCATACCCCTTAATTTTGTCATTAAGACCAAATGGATACGCAGTATTTAGTAATTTAATCCAATAAAATTCTTTATCTGTCCGGATTTGATCATTTTCGTTTTCTAAGTGGTCGTCTAGTATATGGATATAGAACATTCCATTGGGTTGACCATTAGGGAAATGTTTTTTAAAATGTTCATAAATGTAACTAGATTTATGTTTCTTAATGGAGTATTTATGTCCGTACATACGTTGTGTAACCTTGCATGAAGTTTCGCCTACGTATTGGATATTGCATATTTTACACGTAAGACAATATACTATATTTTTAGTTTGACAATTAGCATAATTATGTAGATTAGTCCTAGAGTAATAATTTGTAGAGGTGCTTTGAATTAATGCTTCATATTCTAGATCAATGCAAGTGTTGCAATTTCGTCTACTACATTTACTACCAACTTTATCGTTGAATTCTTTGTTAATAAACCTTAGTTTCCTACCAAGTTGAGTGGAGGAGTGCTCTGATTGCCCGTAATAAGGGGAAAGATATGGATTGAAAGGAAGAGTACGTCTGATATACCAATGGGGTCCGACGTTAGAATGCCCACTGGTTTGACCGTATTTCACGTCTCTCGACGCTAAGCTAGGTAGCGCACGGATACCCAGCGAAGTACTGACCTAGCCTGGCGGCACGACAAACGGTCATAACCGTGCGCTGTCGGCCTTATAACCGGATCACAGGTCAGATTAACTGAAATGTTAATAAAGAAGGAAGGGATCGCTTCTGGCTTAACTGACTTTTGTATGTAATAAGAGGATAAAGGCTAAGAATCATAAGTAGAATTGAGGTAGGATAGAGGCTTAATCATGAAATTATTGGGTGGAATATTATATGAGATTAAATCTGGTTGTGGAGCTAGATGTTTCGGGCTGTAGTAGGTAGGTAGGGATCGAATGATAGGAAGGTAGAAGAATTTAATGGTGAGTAAACGGAGTAAAAGTAGTTAATTAAATAGGAATTATGAAGGTAAATATGTGAAAGATGGTGAAAAATATGTAGTGAAACTAATTATAAGTAATTATTTAAGGTAAAAGGATGGAAACTTAGTATAAGAGCAGAAAATTTGAAAATTAATATCGCTTGAAAAGTGAATAGTTAATAAATAGTTGAAATTGAGTTTACACTATGTATTCGTTAAGCCTGGGCATAGCCCTACGCGTCAACGAAACATAGGTAAATATAATAAAGAGAGAAAAGTATTATATGAGAAGTAAAAGATGAAAGGAAACTCCACACTGCGAACAGTGGGAGTCTTAACAGGCCGAAGCCTGCGGAACCCCGAAGGGTGTGAACTCGCAAGCGAGCGAACGGCAAAGCCGTGTGAACCAAACCACAAGGGAATGGCGGGTTGCTCTAAGAAGAGCTAAAAGAAGAAAAAATGTAAAGTGGGTGCCTGTTTCGACCCTTATCCAAGACAGGCTAGTTTAACATCAGGGTGGGTCTCCTCAGCTGGATCCCTGATGTTTTCTAGTTCAAAAGGTTAAATTCTTAGTTGTATAGTAAAGTATTTTAATTTTTGTTAGGAATTTGTCTACTTTTGGATGAGTTTTAGTTATATTTGTTTCACTTTCGCTGAAATTCTCTTTGATTTATCAGATGGCTTTATCAGCCCCATCATTCGAGTCAGGCCGTGTCGATAGGGTGGGTGTGTAGGCTAACGTAATCGAATGGATGGGTTGAATTTTGAGACTAACTAAGTGAAAGAGTAAAGAATAGAAGAAAAGGTAGAATAATAGTAAGCTGATACTATTAAAGTATGAGAGGGACAGAAAATATTTATGTAAGTGTTATAGGGGTTAGTTTTAATTTGTGTATCAAGTTTTTGCCACTAGTATCGTATCTTAGGCTGAGCCCTGGGTGTTTTTTCATAGCTTTACTGCATAGATTTAGTAAAATTTTACTGGGGTAGCCGTTTTTCTTTAAGTGGGTAATTAGATTTTGTAAATGTTTAATACATGTATCAAGATTGGTACATTTCTCATAAGTCTAAACTGCTACGCGTCGCGCTAAATGACGAGACGAATCCTATTTCTCTAACGCTAGCAACGTAAAATCAAGATTAAAATCAGTATATTTTCTAGCGGTCTAGACCCAATCCATCAAAACGGTTAGATGCTCCCGCTTCCCGGACCCTTTAAAATCAAGTCATATTGATCCCACCTCCATACACACTGCCTCGATCTCCATAGGTACTTCCGGCACCGCTGGTATCCCTACCAAGCACCGAGGTCGGTCTCCCGTCATACGTCGGGCGGTGCGTAGGGGTAGAGGTTCCAAGTGGTGGTGTCAGAGGGTTCGACGCAAACGTCGAACGAACCCCGGAATAATTTCCGAATCTGAAAAAGGCAATTTTGTTCCGAATTCTTTGCCATTTTTCCTGAAAAATGGCCGTCTAGGGACGTGTGATGTAGACTGCGTAGCCACCCCGTGGTTATTATTAAGCTGGTGCTCCCTACGGTTTTCTAGGCTTTTTTTCTAAACTTTCTAACTGTATTTTTAAGATTTTCTAACTTAAAAAGCCCTATTTTTAGATTGTTTTGATGGATCTGTTAGCGTGGTCTAACTACCGTAGCTGAGTCAGAAAATAGGTAATTGTCGATTTTTTATAGTTTCTTACCCTCCATCCCAAGCTCCCAACCTAAAGGTTAATGTTTTTTAGTTTCTTAAAAGTTAGATTTAAGCTAAGTTTAATTTATCGCAATTTTTATGGTGTTGCCAGTGATTTTGAGGATGATTTGGGGGCATTTAAAATTATTAAAGTAAAAAATGTTTTTGGCCTCACCCTCCGCTCCAGGCGCCAATACCGTAATTTCCGTAGTCTCGAATAATTCTGGAATTTTTCCTGCTTTTTTGACTTTTAAACAATTTTAAGGACATCCACAGAAATCTCTAACTACAAACTACAGTACGTCAGAAGCCTCTGGACAGCGGGACTAATTAGAAGCTATTATAAATGCTTATGACACTCAATAATAACACCCACCCGCCATGCCTTGAGCCAAATCTAAAAAATGGGGGAAAACGGGGTATAATTTGGAACGTAACATACCCTCCGAAGGCGCCGCCGGCCGAGTGGATACCATTGCGGCCCAGGTTGACGTTGATGGTAGTATCGTCTGTACCGCCGGGACCGAAACTACGGATTCCCAGGGTGTTCCCGCCCAAGCGGCCAATGTCCGAGACGAGAGCCCGGTCGGCGATGTCCCTAGAAATTTGAATTTAGACAAGTCGGGGGCCAGAAGACGCGAAATTTGGCAATATTTTAGTTCTGGATACGGTAGACTTGACAGAATTTAGAAAATTGGCAGAACTTTGGAATTTTACCAAGTTCTTCATTCCTAAAAAAATTCCTAAAGGATTCCCAAAGAAGCTCTGCTAGCTTGCCCAGAATTTTGTTATTTTACTTGCTTTTTCTATCTCTCTCATCCTCACCTCCTCCTCCGCCTCTCCTGATCCATCTGCTCCCTCAGGATCCGGATTTGGTCCTCGAGCTGCTGGATGCGATTGCGGTGAGTGCGCTCGCGGTTCTCGATCACCTAATTTGTAGTAATTTTAGGGGAATCATGCCTTTGAAAATTTTAATTTTTAGTGACTCCTCGAATTAAATTATTTCATGCTACGTTAGGGAGATTATTTCACTCGGTTTTTGGCGAGCTTTACCTTTTCAAATTCAACCTGTGCAGTCTGAAAGATTGGGTTTTAGCTGTCACTGTAACTTTAAAAGCGTCTTGCTCTTGCGCTGGCTCTTTCCTCTATATCTCTCTCTCGCTCTCTCTCGCTCTCTCTCTCGCTCTTTCTCGCTCTTCTCCTGTCACTTTCCCTTTAAAATCCCTCACCTTCTCAATCTGAGCCTTCTCCTGCATCATTCGCCTCAACTGCATCTCTTGCTCCTCTCGTTGCTTGTTGGTGAGCTCCAGAATGCGATTCCCGTTCTCCATCTCCAACTGGGCGATTTGTTGCTGTAGCTGAGCACAGTTCTTGTACAGCTCCTTATTCTCGCGTTCCATAGCGTTCAGGCTCTTCTCGATGGCCTCTCTCTGGAGCGCCGTCTCCCGGATGGCTTGATCAGTTCTGCGCTTGTCCGCCTCTAACATCTCGATCTTTTTGAGCATCTGGGCCCTCTCTTTCTTCCATCCCTCGAGGAGGTGCAGATTCTTGACCTTCTCGGTTTCGAGCTGGGTGAAACGGCGGCGGAGCTCTTCGAGATCCTAGAAAAATAATTAGGTTGTAGGTATTACGGAAATGGGCTAGATTTACCTGTACTTTTCTATCATCTTAAATTGACCATGGTTTTTGCCAATTGATTGAAATTCTCAATTTTCTAAGGGTTTAAAGCAAATTGTTATGGTGGTCCTCTTCTTTATGGTGAATTTTGTATAATTTTTGAGCTATGTATTTCGTAACTACCTTGACCAGCTGCCGCTTCTCATTCTTCCCGGTCTCCAGCTGTTGCTTAAGATCGGTCTCCGTGCTCCTCTGCTGCGTGATCTGCTTCTCAAGGTTTAAGATCCGATCCTCAAGCCTGTTCTTTTCAGCGTTAGAGTCCTGTAGTTGACGCTGAAGATCAGCGACCCGAGAGTTGACGTCATGGACCCTAAAAGCAAATTTTCGACACAGTTGCCTCAATAACCTCTGCTTGTTATCCCTCAGCTCGCTTCTCAAGTTCAGCAGCTCGCTCTCCATCGTCTGCTTCCTGAGGTTGGCCTGGTTCAGCTCGTTCTGAGCGGCAAGTAGCTGATCCTTGACGGTCAGGTAGTCCTGATTGGTCTTGCTGTACTGGTCGGCCTGGCGGCGGAGCTCGATCTCCAGGGTTTCGGCCTTCGAGATCTCTCGTTTCAGCTTGTCGTTGTCGTCCTTCAGGTCGGACATCTTCTGCTCGGTGAGGCGGAGGTCAGCGTCGAGTTGTTTCACCTTGTCTTGGAGGTTCTAAAATTGGATATAGAGATTTTCTGAAATTGTAATATTTCATGAGGCAAGAGAATCGGATAGGAACGATTTTTTACAGCTTTCGAAACCCCTACGGCATTTAATTGTTAAAATTTTGGTTGTGATATATTTTTAACGGGGATTCTTCGAGTTCTCTCGTCGATTTTCAGCAAAAAACCATTAAAGACGTTATTTTTGGTGTGTATGAATTTTCGAAAAGACAAAAATCCCGAAACGTCCAGTTCTTTCCAAAAAAATTTAATAGCTTTGTTTTTCTTTACCAAACACCTTTGAAAATAACGCAAAAATACTACGAAATTGAACTTGATTTTATGCGTCTTTTCAAGGGCTTTCGAATTCTGTAAAAATCGTCTAAATCGGACGTTTTTGCCTCGAGATATAACTAAAACGGTAACCCACCTGACGCTCCGTGTCGAAAGTAGCGATCTGTAGCTGCAGCCGCTGCGTCTCGGCATCGGTCTCGCGGTTCTTGCTCTCAAGTTGGAACCTAGAGGCATCCCACTGTTCCTCGTGATCCCGCAGAATTCTAATATCCGCGTGCGCATTGTCCAAGTCGCTCCTCAGATTCTTGAGTTGTTCGTTGAGGTGGCGGAGCTGGGCCTCCTTTCCGCGAGCCTGGAGCTCAGCGGCGACCATCTTGGACTTCATCTGTCTTCTCTCTTCGTCTCTCTGTTTAATGGCTTCTTCCTGGGATTTCAGGAGCGCGAGGGCAGAGTTGTATTTGGCTTCGAAGCCTCGTTTTTCATCTTCGATATCCTGGAGTGATTCCTCGATGGTGCGGACGTGGATCTCGCGCTTGTTGGTGGTGGAGTTCGAGTCGGCCGCCTTCTTCTGGAGTCGGTTGAGCTCATCGCGGAGGGAGTTCTAAAAGGAGGGGTTTAAAGGGATTGGCAAGGAATTTTTGAGAATTTCTGGTTAGGGTTTCTAGAGATTTTGCTGAAGCCCAAGAGGCCTAAGCCCAGGTCTAAACCCAAGCCTAAGCCTATCCTAAGCTATTACTTACCCTCTCCGCCTCCAGCTGCTCAATCCGGGCCAAGAGCCGCTGCAGTGTGCCCTCCAAGTTCGACAAGTCGATATGTTGGCCGGCTGCCGGACCGGCACCTCCGGCATAGTCGACACCAGGTGGGAAGGGAACGCTACGCGGCACTCCGCCACCGTCGATGGAGTCCTGTGCGTTTGATGGGATGTCGACAGTTCCGTCTGGGGCAGGGATGCCTCCCCAGGTACCGCCTGGTCCGAAACGGGTGGTTATGGTGGTTCCCTGAAAATAGGAATTTTTGCAGGTTTTGCAGCGCTAGTTTTTCGACATCCAAACCCCTTTAACCCTCTAAAACTTACCCCAGGCTGATCGAAACTTCCGGCTCCTCCTCCGGCCGTTATCCCAATCCTGGTATTTACACCGCCGGCTCCACCAACACCTCCAAATCCACCATCCCCGAACGCATTAATGTTAATGATTCGGTTGGCGGAGGCCTGGAAGCGACGGAGGGCATCGGCAAGCGCGTCTCGCTCTTGGTCAGCCACGATAAAGTCTTGCTGAAGGGCGCCCAAGCGCTGCTCAGCGCTGTCGAGACGCGAGGACAGGTCGTTCACTTCGTACTTCTTGGTTTCGACTTCCATGAGTGCGTTGAGACGACCGTCTTCGGCGGCGCGATGGGCATTTCTAAATGGGGTTTGGTTACTTTTCAATTTCCCAAAAAATCTGTGCTAGCTTGCTCTGGTTGATATTCATCGGAAATTGTCTCCTTCCTCACCTCAAATCATTCAAATTCGAGTCGTACTCCTCGGTCTTGCGCTGCATCTGATCAATACCGAACTTCAAGTCGGTCTGGATCTTGTCCAGCTCGTTCTTCAAGTTTGCCCTGTTCGTCTCGGAGGCGATGAGCTTCTCCGAGGTCTTGTTCAGTTCGTCCCTCATCTTCGTCATCCTGTTTTCGAACGTCTGGCTCAGCTGGTTCAGGTGGTCCGTCTGCTTGGCTTTGTCTCGGAAGGCGTTTTGGAGACGTTCACGCTAAAATAGAGATAATCTACACTTTCTATAGTTTCTACTTGTTCAGCCACAGTTACTACTTTTTATTGATCATCTACAACTCTCTAAAATACCCGCCTCCGACTTGATGACGTTGTAGTTGTTCTTCAAGTCCCGGAAGCCATCTTCGGTCTGCTGGAGCTTGGTTCTCAAGCGGTTCAGCTCCGACTCCAAGTTGGTGTTGCTGTTCTTGAGGACGTCGTTCTCACGGAAGGCCTGGTCGAGCTCCGAGCGCCACTTGCTGCTCTCACTCTGCAGGGTGGCGAATTGGTCCTCCAGCGATCTGAGACGGTTCATGGCGCTTTCCAGCTCGCCGTCCTTTTGAAGGAGGTTAGACTTGGCGTCGGCGAGGTCTTCTTCAAGGCGTCGCACTTGGGATGTTACTGAAAATGGGGGATTTTGGGGTTAAAATACGTATCTCCCTCTCACTCTCTCTCTCGCTATCTCGAAAAAACTCACACTCCCTGATCCTGGCCGTCATCTCTCCGACCTGCTTGCCCAGGTGGTCGGCCTTATCGGTAGCTGCACTCAGCTGTGCCTTCAACCCAGCATTGGCCGTCTCCAAGGCCTTAGCCTCCGACTTCGCCGTATAAGCTTCGTTCTTCCACTTCTGAACCTCCTTGTCCAACTCGTTCCTCAGATCCTCCAGATCGTCCTTTAGCTTCTGATTCGCGGCAAGTAGCTGCTCAATCTTATTGTCCCTATCTCTCAAATCCGCATCCAGGAAATTCTCCCTGTTCAGCGCCTCCGAGAGAGTCTTCTCCAGGTTGGCGATCCTGTTCCGCAGCTCGTTCTCTATGGCCTTGAGGCTGTCCACAGACTTTGTGTACTGTTCCTTCTCGTCATCGAGGTCGGAGAGGTGCTTGTCCTGGAGGGCGGCTATCTCCTGCTTGAGCTTGTCGATCTCGGCCTGGTGCTTGCGCTGCAGTTCGGCGAGGTCGCTGTCCTTGCGGTCTTGGCCGCGGCCGACCTGAAAATAGAATTTTTCGTGGTTTTTGCATAATTTTTAATACTTCTAGAATTCACTTTTACACTTTATCACAAATTTCCTAAATTTTCTTTGCTAGCCTTTCCAAGAGAAGTCTTTTTGACTATCACTATATTTTTTCTCCAAGTATCTCTGCTGGCCTGTCCGGGCTCCATCACAGTTTTTCCTCAACAATCCCTGCTACCTTCCATACCTGAGCCAGCTCGTCCTTCAGCTCTTGCAGCTTCCTCTCGAGCGTATCTTTCTCATTCTCCAGCTTCTCCACCTCCATCTTCCACTTATCATTAATGTCGCGAATGCGGATAGCGGTCAGCTCGTCATCTTGATCGTAGATACCTCCCGGGTAGCCCCTGTTGTCAATCGTGACGTCAATACCGCCATCTCGGCCATCGTAGCCTGGGCGGCCGTCGGCACCGTCCCTTTAAAGTAGCGATATAAGGTTAAGATTCAGCTTAGCTTAGGCCTGGCCAAGTCTTGGCTTAGGCTTAGCTTAGGCTTAGCTTAGGCTTAGCTTAGGCTTAGCTTGGGCTTAGCCTAGGCTTCATATACTTTAATACATACCTTCCGCCGTTATACGGAATATTGATGTCCCCTCCTCCGGGGACATTCGAGGGAATGTCGACGGATCCGCCGCCACGTTGATCACCAGGCCCAGGGGTATCGTAGATATTCTCCTGGGGCTCTCCGGGAACACCGGAACCTCCGCCGGTACTTCCAGGGCCGTAGACAGAACCGGGGCGGCTTCCACCTAAAATAGCTCGTTTCGAAGCATTTTTTTAGGGTTTTGTACCTCCATTAACTAATTTTAAATAGTTTAAATAAGGTTAGAACTCTTGGTGTAACTAATTTGTTAAATTTGTTAAAATACCCGACACCTGTGTTAAATCTCCTTAAAATGATTTGACTGTTTTTAAGCCTTATATTCCGTTTTTAATTCCTTACGCATTTGGCTCAACGGCTTCATAATTTCTAAAAAGTTCTTGAAGTTTTTTGTCTAAGTTTCGTTGTAGAACTAGCTAATTTTCGCGATTTTTGAATATTTTCGTTGTCTCTCTCGCCTCTCTCTCTCTCTCTCTCTCGCTCTTTTTCCATCTTTCTCTCTCGCTGTCTCTCGCTCTCTTTCTGCCTCTTTCTCCCGCTCCCTCCTCACCTCGTCCTCCAGCTCCTCCGCCTCCAACATTAATGTTCACGTTGGTTCCTCCAAGGCCGCTCCTTCGTCCTCCATTCCTCAGCCGATCCTTCAGGTCCTTGATCTCATCCTCCAGCTTCTTCACCAACTCCTGGAGTTCAGCGAGTTCAGCCTTTCCATTGGCCACTTCCTTGGCATATCCAGTAGCCTTCTGACCCTCTTGAGTGGCCCCAGCTAGAGCTCGATCTCGCTCGGCCTCCAGGGCCTTGATCTCATTCTGGAGTTTCTCCACCTCAGCCAACGACTTTCGGGCCTTCTCCTTGAGGGCGTCATTGTCAGCGTCAGTTTTGTGCTTCTGGTTGAGCACCTCCTGCTTCTCATTCTGCAGCCTCAAGTTCAAGTCGTTCAGCTTCTGGATCTCAGTGTTCCGGGAGTGGATCTCATTCTCAAGTTGGGCAATCTTAGCCTGGTTGTTCTTGACGGTCGTGTCCAGCTCGTCATTGTGACGTTGCAGGAAGGCGATTTGAGTGTCACTCTCATGAAGGGCGCGCTTTAACTTGTCGATCTCGTCGTTAGATCGTTCTCCATTCTTCAAAGCATCATTTCTCGCCTTTCGCTCATCCTCAATTCGCTGCTTAATTTCAAAGAGGCTCCTCGAGAACTCGTCTTTCTGTTTTTGGAAGTCGTCTCTTTGCTGCTTGATGTCTTTGAGTTGTTGCTCATAGAGTTGGACCTGTTTGTGCGCGGCGTCCATATCGTGGTGCGTTTTTTCATTG